AACGGTGTGGGGCGGGTGGCGTGCAGGCTGGCGGGCCAGAGACGTGGGTAAGCGCCTCAAAAGTAGGTCGCCCCCCCAGCATCAGCCTCTCCTGGATCGTGGTGCTATTTTTCTGGGAGTGGATTAGCATAAGGGGCTTAAGGGCTCTGGCCGGGGGCCTTGGTGACAAGCGCCTCTCCTTCGGTGGCCCTCAGGCTTTCTTGACAAACTTTTTTTCCCTCTGGGGACTGGAGTCAAAATATAGCAGGTAAGGCGTTGGCCTTGCATGCGGCTGACCTGGGTTTGATCCCCGGCACCGCGTTCGGTCCTCCGAGCTGGCCAGGAGTGATTCACAAGCACAGAGCCAGGAGTAGCCCCTGAGAACTGCAAGGTGTGCACCCCCGAACCAAAACTAAATAAGTAAATAAAAACTTTGTTTTTGCTTTGGGGGCATCCCGGGCAGGGCTTTGGGGCTGCCCCCAGCTTGGTGCTTTGTTCTTACTCAGGGCTCAGGGGTGCAGGCTGTGGGGGGGGGGGGGGCGGAAATCAGAAAGGGTGTGTGAAGGAAGTGCTCCATGCCTTGGCCTCCCCTCCTTGGCTCTCGCGCTCGGCCGGGTGGGTGCACCCCCAGTGCGCTCCAGGCGAGGGAGCTGCCCCCCCGCAGCTGACCGGGCTCTGCATCCCACGATGGCAGACTCTCTAGACATCTCCCTGGCCACTGTGGCAGGGTGGGGAGTCGGCAGTCGTGTCTGGTTTGACCCTGAGCAGGCTGGCAGGGACGGTCCCTAAGGCCTCACTGGTCCCTGTCCTGGGAAGAGCATCACCCCCATCCCCCTGGATCTTCCGGTCACTCTGCTGGCCCTGGCTGTTGGACATTGATTGGAGGGAAGGAGTGCGGCCCAAAGAGGTCACTTCGTAAGATTGACTCGGTTTCTCTGGGGGGTTCCTGGTTCCGTGTCAGAACCTGGTGATTCTCAGGAGGCCAGAGGTGTGTGTGTGTGTGTGTGTGTGTGTGTGTGTGTGTGTGGAGAGGGGTTTGTGGTGGACCGGGGACTGACTGGCATATGTCCCTGAGCTGTCACCCTGACCTTTTCTTGGAGGAAAGAGGGGTCCTAAATGGTGCCCAGGGGGCCTGGAGGTCCCTGCTGGCCACAAGCACCCCATGGACCGGCAGTTCAGTGCTAGGTCTGGGAATCCAGTATGCCAGGCGATGAGGGGGCACAGGTAGGGCACCCGCCGCGACCCCCGTGCTGCTCTCCTGGGCCCCCTGTCCTTGCCTGCTGTTAGTTCTGTTTGGGGGTCACACCCTTCAGTGCTCGGATGGAACCCAGAGCTCCCGCTTCTCTGAGGTCGTCTGTGCCCAGCGCCCCTCAGGGTGCTCAGCTGCGCCCAGTTCTCGTTCCTTCTCTGCTTTTTCTCCTTCTGCGCATTTCCCACCTGCACTCAGCCCCCCTGCACCCGCCCAAGAAGCCAGGGACCCCTCGGGTGGCTCCTCCCCCAGCCAGATGCCCGGGTGGCATTTACTGTGGGCTCAGCGGCCACTCTGCCCAGCATCGCTTTGAGACTCGTTGACCGGCTTTACTACTAGGTGAACAGGCAGGGACCGATCAGGTGGGCTTGAACCCCCAAGGCAGAGTGCCGGGGGTGCAGAGGGGCCGGAGGGCACACGACTACACTCCCCAAGCCCCAGGCAGGAGGCCACCCTGGGGTGCCCTGTGTCCCGGGGCGTGGCCAGAGCTAGGCATGGACCTGGCTGCCAGCTGGCCATGGGGCCCCTCCCTTCTTCCTGGCACGTTGCCATCCCTGTGGTGTTGGGAGGGCAGGATGGGGTGCTGTTCCGGGGTGCGTGCCGGCCCTCAGAGCCGTGTCCATTGACACTGTGAGCCAGGCTGGCCTCTCTGGGACAGGGGTCCCCCCGGGCAATGCTGGGCGTGGCTGGGCGTCGTGGGCGGCAGGTGGGGTGGGAGCTGCACCTGTGGCAGGTGTGCCACGCCGACTTGGGGAGTTGCGACATGGGTGTGGGGAGCAGGGGCGCGTGCGTCCTGCTGCTGTGACCTGGGCGCTGTGGGCGCGCTCCCAGATTCTCCCTGGCACCCGGTCGGGCACCCCCACAGGCGCTGAGGACAGCTTGGCTGGAGAGTGTCAGTGCCCGCTGCGGCCGACGCGAGTTTGAGGCACTGATGTGCGTTTCCTGAAATATTCGGGGCTCCAGGTTCTGGCCCCAGCAGCATCAGGGAGCAACAGCCCCCTGCCCCTGGACCCGTGCCCAGGGGGCCTCGTGGGACCGGTGCTTGGTTCCGGGGTCAGCGTGTGTCCGTGAAGAGCTCAGCTCTTGCTGCTGTTCTTCGGGCCACACCCTGTGCTGCCCAGGCTCCCTCAGGCGCTGCTCTCAGGAGTTGCTCGTGGCGGTTCTCAGGGGACCATACGGGGTGCCGGGGACTGGACCTGGGTCAGCCACGTGCAAGGCCAGGGCCCTCCGTGCTGCACGGTCTCCCCAACCCCAGAACTCAGCTGTCACCGGACATCTGCTAAATATTCAACATTGTTTCCTGGTGGCCAGGAGGTGACAGTTACTGATTTGGCGGTGCCCTGGGGGGGGAAATCACACATCCTGTCACATGTGGATCACACGTCCCGTCATATGGGCAGCGCAGGCTCTGAGTAATGGTTACTTGAAGGAGCCCTAGTGGAAACGGGGTGCCGCGGTGCGCCCATTGTGGAGCAAGAGGGGCACATGTCCCCCCCACCCCCATCCCCTCATTGTAGTGTGTGTGTGTGTGTGTGTGTGTGTGTGTGTGTGTGTTGGAGGGTGGGAAGCGCACGCATGCATGAGTAAATGTGCATGTTGCCTGCATGCATGTGCGTGCGTTTGTGTGCACGTGTGTGTGCATGCGTGTATGTGCGTCCGTGCGTGTGTGTGCATGTGTGTGTGTGAGCGGTTCAGACATCAGACTCGGGGCTCGTGCATCAGTCTGCACTTCATCACGGAGCCGCCGGCCTTTCAAGTCTCTTTATTGCGCTCTAACTCACAGCCTGCCCAGCCACTGCGGCACCGAGCCGAGCCGGACCTGCCCGGCTACTTTTGCCATCCTACGCTGGGAAGGCTCCTGCCTTAGCCCCCGCCACCCACCCGGCCCGCCTCCCTCCTGTCCCCGCCCCTGGCTATTGTCCTGTTTGCCCCCCCTGCCTGGTTCCGGGCTCGGGTGCTGGTGCCCTGCTGTGCCCCTGGGCACAGGGTTCCAGGTGGCAGCTGCTCGGTGCTTTGCTGCCTTATTCAGCAGCGGCTGAGTGGCCTGTGAATTTCCTGCCGTGAAGCCCCAATACGGGGGGCAAGACGCTGGGCTGCCTCTGCCCTGGACACCGGGGACCCGGGCGGGTGAGCAGGGGATGCAGTTCTATGTGAGCTTCTTTCCAGACCTCGGGTGCGTCCGGGAATGGAGGTTCCGGCCCACGTGACTGCGCGCACCCCTCGGGGATGGGCCTGGCTGCTCGTCCAGTGGGGCCGGCGCCTCTTCCCCCAACCCCCAGCCCTGCGTGCCCCGCTGTCCTGCCGCCTTTTGAGCCCTGGTGGGGTCCGGGTTGTGGGTGGCAGGAAGTTGTGACCGGCTGCGTTGCTGGCGGCCCCTGGAAAGTGTGCGGTGGGGGTTTCCGCTCCTCCTGCCGGGCCTGGCTCCCTGGTCGCCCTCGAGGCTGCAGGGCCCAGGCCCGGCAGAACAGCAGCTGGTGGGTTGGGGGTTGCATTTGCAGTCAGGGGACTTCTGGCCGCGATGTGACAAGCGCAGCGTCTGCTCTGCTCCCTCGGGGAGGGGGGGCGCGGGGTGTCTCCTCTGCCGCTCCCGGCAGGGTGCACAGAAACAACAACCAAAGAGCCGGGCTGGGGTGGGCTCTGGGTGAATCTTCCGCCACTTGCGAGTTTGTTTAGAAAAATCTGGGGTGTGTGGGGTACGTGGGGCTGCTCTCATGTCAGCATCCTGCAGTGAAGTGTGTGTGTGTGTGTGTGTGTGTGTGTGTGTGCACGCTGCTGTCAGTGTGTTACTGGGTCCTTGCACTGGCTCGGACCACATACACGTAACATGCTCACTCACAACACACACACACTTACATGTACACATACACAGGCACACATAAACACACACCCCGATACACGCAACACACATAACACAAGCATGCACACTAATGCACACACTGATACACACATGTGCACTTGCACTCACACATGCGCTCATGCAGACGCACGTGCATTCACACGCACACGCACACACGCTTACATGCATATTCACATATACCTTCACACACCCCTTATACGTGCTCACACACATACCAACACTCACCTACTCACACACTCAGCACCCCCCCATGCATGCACACACTCTCACACACTCACACACACACACACATACATGCGCGCGCGCGCGCGTGCACGCGGGGCTCTCGCTGTGCACAGCCTCTCCTCCCCTGCTCACTCCCTTCCCCGCTCGCTGCAGACAGGTTTAGACAGTTCCAAGGCGACGGTGCTGCCCTGCCAGGCTCCCCCTGGACGGTTGGCAGAGGGAAGGGAGGGCAGCCCGGGTGAGCGGCTGCAGCCGCCAGGGCTACTGCATCAGGAAGCTGGCAGGATCGCAGGTCAGGGGCACCCAGAATGTTCCGAGAAGGGAATTGCACTGTGCTTTTCCCTGTGTGGCTGGGGTGTGTGTGGGGAGGGGGTGCTGGCCCAGGCGCCTGGGTCATGTCCTACCCCGAAAAGGAGAAGGGAGAGTATGAGGGAAAGGAGGAGGAGGAGGAGGAGGAGGAGGAGGAGGAGGAGGAGGAGGAGGAGGAGGGGAAGGGGAGGGGAGGGGAGGGGAGGGGAGGAGGACCTGGCCTCCCCCAGTAGCGGGCACCGACCCCCTGAGCGGTCTGCCTCCGGGAGGGACATCCGTGGGGTCCTTCCACGCTTGGCTTCGCTCAAGAAGAATCCGCAGTTCGCTCCCGAGGGGGCAGCTGGGGGCCCCAGGTGAGACTTCCCTCCCGTCTCCCCCCAGAGCAGGAAGATGGCGGAGGCGCACCAGGCCGTGGCCTTCCAGTTCACCGTCACCCCCGACGGCATCGACCTCCGGCTGAGCCACGAGGCCCTGAAGCAGATCTACCTGTCGGGGCTGCACTCCTGGAAGAAGAAGTTCATCCGCTTCAAGGTGCTGCGGGGCGCCTACCTGGGTTCTGGGCGGGGGTTCGGGCCGTCCCCAGGGTCACTGCAGCCGGCGCCCTCTCTGAGGCCCAGGAGCGCTTCACCCCCAGGGCTGTGCCCATGCCTGAGAAGCCTCTGGGGGTGAGTCCGTAGCTGGGCGGGGCGGGGTGGGGGCTTGGGCAGCACAGCTGGACCCTGGCTCCGTGCAGGCCATGCACTGTGAGCCCACGAGCGTCAGTGAGTTGTTTTAGCGCCCAGGTAACTGCACGCGCCCGGTCCTGTTTCACTGAGCGCAACTGCAGTTCTGCTGTTCCTTTAGGGGGGCTCTGCTGACGGGGCAGGAGTCCTCAGGACACTGTGGGCAGTGCCTGGCCCTGCGGTACCAGGCATGGAGCTCGGGGTTTCCCACCTGCCCGGCGAGCGCCTTGTGGCCGAGCGCCATCCTGGCCGGCCCAGTTGTAATTCCTGTGTGTGGTTGCTTTGTTTGGGGGCCACAGCCACAGTGCTCAGGCCTCTTCCTGTTTCTTCGCTCAGTGCTCAGGGGTCCCTCCCGCAGGGCTCAGGGGACCGCCTGGCTGCTGGGGACAGAACCTGGGTCAGCCGCATGCAAGGCCAGCTCCTTCCTGCTGTGCTCTCTCTCCGCCTCACCCCTCCCCATTGTAATTCCTTTAAAACACCCCCAAAGGAGTGAATGAGTGGACACAAGAACAATACCGATGGTGTGCGGGGCGTGTGTGGATGTCCCTCATTCCGTGCTCCCCGAGGGCTGGGGGCACCGCCCTGCGGGGTCCAGCCCTGGGCACCCTAGCAGCTTCCTCTGACCAGTCCCCGGCAGCGCTGGGAGACACCCTGACCTGATGGAAGCGCCTGAGCTTGAAGGGCCCCGGGGTGAGGGCTCTGCAGCGGCCCCCAGAGTGTGGTTCAGGGGCACGGGGAGGCATGCCCGGGCTGTTGGTGACCATGGGGCCAGCCTGGCTGGGTTCCTGTCAGCAGCCTCAGCGGGTACAGGGTGTGTGTGTGTGTGTGTGTGTGTGTGTGTGAGTGTGTCTCTCTGTCAGTGTGTCTGCATGTGTGTCTCTCTGTGTATCTGTATATGTCTGTGCGTGTGTGTCTTTGTGTCTATGTGTGTGTCTGTGTGTGTATATCTGTGTGTATGCACGTGTGTGCTTGTGTGTCTGTGTGTCTGTGTGTGTCTCTCTGTGTATATCTGTATATGTCTGTGTGTCTATGAGTTTGTGTGTGTGTGTGCGCATGTGTGTCTCTTTATGTCTCTGTGCACGTGTGTGTGCACATGCACGTGTATGTGTGTGGGGGGCTACCTTTTCCAGGGCTCCCGCTTACCTGCGGGAGAGGGGCGCCCCTGCAGGTGAGGTAGAACTGGGGAGGCGTGTGGGGACGTGGCCGGGGCTACGTGGCCAGGCAGGTGTAACTCGTCGTCCGCTATCGGACCCTGGACAGGTGGGCCCAAGGTGTGGCAATCACATCACTGTGGGCTGGGGTGGGGCGGCTGAGGGAGCCACGTCCTGGCAGGCTGATGACACCCAACTGCCCTGCTCTCTGCTGTCGCCAGATCCCCCTGCCTTATCTCTGCGCGTGTCTCCCAATCTCTGTTTATCTTTGAAGAACATCATTTGTAACCGCGGGAAGCTTTCACCAACCTCCGCAGAGTCCCTGCTGCAGTTCCGCCAAGAGGGCGTTGGCTCTTCCAAACCAAGTTCAGATAAAGCTTTTTTTTTTTTCCCTTTTCGTGTACAGAGGCAAAAAAGTTCTCCAAGACCCAGCTCTCACACTGAGTCTGCCCTGTGTGACAGCACTGCCCAAAATGCACCTAGGGGCCGTGAGCTAAAGCTTCGAGGGGCCGGGGCGATAGTGCAGCGCAGAGGGTGCTTGCCTTGCATGCAGCAGACCTGGGTTCGATTCCCGGCACTCCATAGCGTCCCCCGAGCACTGCAGGTGTGATCACTGAGTGCAGAGTCAGGCGAAATCACTGAGTGTGACTCAAAAAACAAAAAGGGGGCAAGAGAGACAGAGACGGGGGCGGGGGAGAGAGAGAGAGAGAGAGAGAGAGAGAGAGAGCTTTGAGGTGAAGGAACTTGTGGGGTAGGGAAGAGACAGTTAGGAAGAGACACTTAGGAAGAGCCAGTTCTGCTTCCTGCCCATTGTCCTTCCAATGGATATTTTTTTAAATGGTTTTGGGAGCAGGGCCGGGCCAGGCAGGTGTAACTCATCGTAATTCTGTAATTCTGCACCAATTCTCAGTATAGCGAGTCCCTTCAGACACACTTTGGGGTATAGACAGTGGGTCTGGACTCCGGGGCGCTGGAGTGGTCTTGGAGTGAGTCTGGGGTGTCCTCAGTGGGTGCAGCTGGGGGATGCGACTCCTGGCTGGCTCTGACACCTTCGTCCCCAGGGGTGCCGCCTGGGAACCCCCAGCTGCTCCCGTGGGTGACACATGTCCTGGGGTCCCCGAGGCAAAGCTCTCGGGAGATCTGGCGCTTGGGTAGGTGGGGGGAGGCGTGCAGGAGGTGCCCCCCATGTCCCTGCCCGGAGCCACCGCCTGGCGCTGCTCACGGCCTGTGTCTATTCCAGAATGGCATCATCACGGGCGTGTACCCCGCCAGCCCCTCCAGCTGGCTCGTCGTGGTGGTGGGCGTGATGTCGACCACCTACGCCAAGATCGACCCCTCCTTGGGGATGATCGCGAAGATCAACCGGACCCTGGACACCACGTAAGGCGCGTCGGCTCTGCGGGGCCCTGGGCATGTCCGGCACTGGCCAGGGCAGCTGAGGAGACCCCATGTGTGCGGGGGGGGGGGTGTCCACCCCTTCCATCCTGAGAGGGGACAGTGACAGTGCTGGGGAGCTCTTCACCCGGGTCACCCCAGTTCCGAAGTCCCTCGTGACAGGCGTCCCCCCATCCAGGCTCGGCTCCCGGCAGCTTCCTTCCACCATTGATTTTTCCTCAGAGGTTGAATTTTGGCCGGGAGGTGCCCTTGGCTCGGAGTTCTTTCTCTGGAGGTCCCAGTGCCTGGCACCCCCATGCAGGGCGTGGCTGGGACCCTCTGAGGTCCCCCGGGCTCTGTGTCATCAGATGCCCAGTCAAGGGGTGACCCACCTGCCTCCTCAGGCTGCCCCCTGAGAGCACCCCACAAGCCCACCGCAGGACAAACGGCCTCTCTGGGCCCCTATCCGGCCGTGGCCCCTCTAGGAAGCCCTTCGGCATGTGCTGATCACAAAGGACTCGGCTACTTGGGATGTGGCTGGCTGGACTCTGGGTTCGCCTTGTGGGGTGCAAGTTACCTCAGCAGATGTTTTCGGGAGATCCTGCATCCTTGTCCACTAGTCCTGAGGGACATGAGCTGGGGGGACACCCTAAGGGATGGGGTGCAGCTGGGGTATCCTGCCTTCCCCATCCATGGTTGGTCTCATCAGCCACTGGTGGGTGGATGCCAGCAGGACCCCATCGGGAAAGCAAGGCGCCAGAGAAGCCCCCGAGACCGTGGGAAGAGAATGAGCTGATGGCCTCGTGCCCGGACCCATTCCATCCTGGAGCCCCTGGGGCTGGGGGTGACTGAGGCACATCCGGTTCACCCCCTAGTTCAGCTGCGCCTGGACCAGTCTCCAAGAGACTAGAGTGACGCTCCCTCGACCTGGGCTGCCGGGGGCAGGTGGGGGGCACCCGTCTCTGGTCTCTGTGGCCCTCGCTGCTCTCCCCGAAGTCCCCCCGCCTACCTCCTACCTGCCCCTGCCCCGGTTCTTCTCACACAGTAGGGCTTCGACCAGGAACGAGTTCTATTTAGAGATGGTTGGTTCAGGCCTTTCCTTATCCAGGCCCTTATGTGGTTTGGCTCCTGGCTAAACCTGCCTAGTGAGCCGGGCCACCCGGCTGGCCCGGTGGGAAGGCCAAGTCTCGGGGCAGTTCTTCCGGGCATGGGCGATTCTGGAACATTCTTGCTGCGAGATTCCCAGGGCCGTGGGTTTAGCAGAGGGGCCTTGTCCATCCCCTGTGGCCTTGAGGGGACACATCCCTTTGAAAGAGCAGCCCTGCTGACTTCCTTCTCCAAGGGCCGGTGGGTTTATTAAAGATGACCTCCCGTGGCCCCGTGGATGCTGGGTCTCAGCCAAGTCTTTATCCTGGAGTCACCAACGGATTGTTCAAAAGCCAGATACTCGGATTCCCCAAATCCAGGCTCGCAAATCCGCCTTGCTATGAAATATTTCACTTCTTTTTTTTTTTCCTTTTTGGGTCACACCCGGCGATGCTCAGGGGTTACTCCTGGCTTTGCACTCAGGAATTGCTCCTGGCGGTGCTCAGGGGACCATATGGGATGCTGGGAATTGAACCTGTGTTGGCCATGTTGGCTGCGTGCAAGGCAAACGCCCTACCCACTGTGCTATCGCTCCAGCCCCGAAATATTTCACTTCTTGATTTTGGGAGTGTTGGAGGGACCACGCACCTAGCCATATTCAGGGGGTGCTTCTGGCTCTGTGCTCAGGGGACACTCTTGGCCGTGCTCTGAGGAACCGTAAGTGAGGCTATGGAGCTGACTGGGACGGCCACCTCTGGGGGAGTGGCCTGGCCCTGGGACTGTCCCTCCAGCTCCTGGACTATGTCCCTTTTCTCAGCAAATGAGCACCTTCTCTCCTTTTAGGCTTGTGTGCTGGTTTTCGTGGAGGCGTGGGGGGAGGAACTCAGGCCTCACTCGTGAGGCTTGCGTCCGGGACATCCCGAATTCCTCTTTCGTTTGGAATAAGTATCTCGGCCCCGCTCCAGTCTCAGCTCTTCGAGGGAAGTGGCCGAGGTGGAGCTGTACCGAGCCACCGAGAAGCTCAGGAAGTGTAGGAGGGGGCGGCTAGGGCGCTCTGGGCATAGCCCGCGGGGATCAGGTGACCTGGAGTGTCATATTTTTGTCTCGGGGGTCACACCCAGCGGTGCTCAGGGCTTACTCTGGGTTCTGTGCTCAAGAATCACCCCTGGTGGTGCTCAGGGCATCATCTGGGATGCCAGGGATGGAACCCGGGGCGGCCGGGTGCAAGGCAGGTGCCCTCCCCTCTGTGCTGTCACTCTGGGCCCTGGGGGTGTCATCTCACGGGGCCTGGCCACAGCCTGGCAGCATGCCCTCAGTCCCCACGCGGTGCCCCTGGAATTGCTGTGTTGGCTGAAATACACCAGCCCCCATGCCTTGCGGGGCTCCCCCTGCTGGTGGGGTGCAGCTCTGCAGGCGGCCCTCCCACCCCAGAAGGGGGTGGGCGCTGTTCCCCTCTGACCAGGCCAGAAGCGTGGTCTCCTTCCGCGGCTTCGTTCCCACGCCTCTGTGCACGTGTGTGTGTGTGTGTGTGTCCACCACAGGGGCCACATGTCCAGCCAGACCAAGAACGTGGTGAGCGGCGTCCTGTTCGGCACGGGCCTGTGGGTGGCGCTCATCGTCACCATGCGCTACTCCCTGAAGGTGCTGCTCTCCTACCACGGCTGGATGTTCGCCGAGCACGGCAAGATGAGCCGCGCCACCAAGATCTGGATGGTAAGGGCCTGCGCCCGGCCCCGCTCGCCTCTGTGCCCCTGCCGCGGCTCTGGGGACACCAGCAGTCCCCAGCACCCACCCCTGCACGGCCCGGCCTTCCCGTTGCTTCTGTGGCCAGAGTGTGGAACACAAACCCTACCCACCCCTCGGAGCGTAGTTTACGCATGCACGTACATGAGTCTGTGTGAGTGTTTGTGTGAGTGCATGTGTGTGAGTGCATGTGTGTGCACGGGTGTATGTGCACGTGAGTGCGCGAGTATGCCTGAGTGTGTGTGCATGAGTGTTTGTGTGCATGAATGTTTGCATGGATGTATGTGTGTGTTTGTCTGAGTGTGCGTGCGTGTAATTGTGTGTGCATGAGTGTTTCTGTGTGTGCATGAGTGTGAGTACGTGCATAGCTGTATGTGTGCATGAGTGTGTGTGCAGGGGTGTATTTGTGTGTGCGTGAGAGTGTGAGTATGTGCACGAGTGTGTGGATAAGTGTTATTTATGTCTGTACTTGAGAGCGTGTGAGTATGTGCATGAGTGTGTGCACGGGTGTTTGTGTGCATGAGTGTCTGTGCAGAAGTGTATTTGTGTGTGCATGAGCATGTGTGAATGTGTATGTGAGTGTGTGAGTGTGCATGAGTGTGTTTGTGTGTGCATGAGTGTATTTGCATGTGTGCATGAGTGTGTTTGCACGAGTGTGTATTTGCATGTGTGTGCCTGCATGAGAGTGTGTGTGTGTGTGTGCGCGTGCACACGTGCTGCCAGGTGCCGTCCCAGGCTCCACCTCTCTGCACACACACTCCGCCCCTGCGCGGCTGCTCCCAGTTCCGTGCTCAGCACCACACGGCACCCTCCCGGGCCCTCAGCCCAGTGTGCAGTCAGTGACACCGTCCCGTTAGCTGACACCCCAGCTGAGGGTGGGTATCTGGAACTTTCCTCACACACCTGCAGGCTTATCCACATTGGCAGCCTCCCCGGCCCCCGGGCAGCCCCTTCCTAGCCCCGTTTCTCTGAGCCCCTGGTAGGTTCCTGTATTTTGTAATGACTGAGGGGACGGTTGTTACTGTGTCTGAGGGGATGGTTGACTGACGGAACCTGGGGCCCCGCCGCTGCCTCCCGGGCCCTGTGGGAGCTGAGACGGGCCATGCCCGGGCAGTGCGGGTGGTTCTGGCCCGTGGGAGAAGAGTCTTGGGCCACGGGTGTCCACGCCTGGTAACCGCAGAGGCCCGATCCCCACGGGCTTGCTCTGATGGCTTTGGCAAGTCCCGGGCACCTCGTGAAATGCCCTCCGGGCTCCGGCCTCTGGCACGTTGAAGGCTGTCTGGCTGCATCTTGGTGGCTTTTCCCTCTGGCCTGGAGCCGGTGCTCAGGGACTCCTTACACGGTCCAGTCCGACTGGGTCAGCCTTGACTCGGGCTTGGCTTCCAGAACATTCCTCTGGCTTTCCTCAGCCCTGGGGTGGAGGCTGGTTGCAATTCTGCCAAGTGTTGGCTCGCTCCAAGGCCGCGGCCGCCTCGCCCGACCTGCTTCCTGCTGTTGCTCAGGTCCGGCCTTGTGTGCGCCTCAGGTGACAGAGATGACCGGTGTCCCGGGAGGTCCCCACCAGGTTAGCCTGGTCCGCCTGGAGGACAGGCCACCACACCGGAACTTACGTCACTGTGGCCGAGCCGGGGCCCGGGGCAGGCCTGGGAAGGGGGGATGGCTGTCCCCGCGTTGCGGGAGAGAGGACCAGGCTGTGTGCTGAGGCCTGGCCTCAGGCCAGCACTGCAACCCAACCCCCGCTGCCCGGTCGGACCCCATGATGGGGCTGGACATGCTGGCTCTGTTCAGCCTGGGAGGTCAGTGGGGAGGCCTGGGGGACTCCCTGGAGGGGGCCAAGGGCGGAGCTGGGGCAGGGAGAGGCCCGGAGGACACAGTGCAGCCCCCTGATACTTGCGAGGGGGCAGGTGGCAGGCTTAGCCGGGCCCTGGTGTTTGTGGGGGACAGGCGGCTGAGCGGGGTCTGTTTGCAGGCCATGGTGAAGGTGCTGTCGGGCCGCAAGCCCATGCTCTACAGCTTCCAGACGTCGCTGCCACGCCTGCCCGTGCCACCCGTCAAGGACACCGTGAGCCGGGTAAGGTGTCTGGGGCGCGCGCTGTGCTGGCAGGGCCCGGGAACCCTCTCCTTGGGCGCCCGCGCGGCTTGGGGCGTCTTTGTAGTTTCTTCAAGTACAGTAGCTGTTAGTTACGGCCCAGGAGATCGCTCAGAGGGCAGGAACTTCCTTACACGTGGCCGACCCGGGTTCAATCCCCGGCACCCCAGAGGACCCCCAAGAAGTCCCCCTAGAGTGATTCCTGAGTGCAGAGCCAGGAGTAACCTCTGAGCACAGCAGGGTGTGGCCCCAAACGAAACAGATAGTGAAACTAGAGAGTGGCGCCTTCTGGGGGGTTGGTGGGTGGGTCTGTGGGGCTTAGCCGGGTGTGATTTCTTTTTCTTTTTTTTTTGGCTTTTTGGGTCACACCCGGCGATGCACAGGGGTTCCTCCTGGCTCTGCACTCAGGAGTTACTCCTGGCGGTGCTCAGGGGACCCTATGGGATGCTGGGAATCGAACCCGGGTCGGCCGCGAGCAAGGCAAGCGCCCTCCCCGCTATCGCTCCAGCCCTAGCCGGGCGTGATTTCATGGAGGGAGTGCTCGGCAGTTCTTGAGAGCAGCTTTCTCCTTGTCTTTTGTGGTGCTGGGGTCAGAGCTCGGGGTTCCACCGCGGGCACCACCGAGCCCCCCACCCCACATACTTCCTTTTTTTTTTATATTCTCTTTGACCGCCCCCTCCCCCCTTGGGCTGGAGCGATAGCACAGTGGTAGGGGCGTTTGCCTTGTGCGCAGCTGGCCCAGCCAAGCTGGGTTCGATTCCTCCGCCCCTCTTGGAGAGCCCAGCAAGCTACCAAGAGTATCTCGCCCGCACGGCAAAGCCTGGCAAGCTCCCCATGACATATTCGATATGCCAAACAGAGTAACAACAAGTCTCACGATGGAGACATTACTGGGCCCGCTCGAGAAAATCGATGAACAACGGGAGGACAGTGACAGTGACCCCCCCCTCCCCAGCAGTGCTCAGCGGCCTGGGGTGCGCTCCCAGGAGTCACAGGAGGTCCTGGGGTGTGTAGCTGCTGGGAGTGCAGTGCTGGGACTTCCAGGCCAGCCCAGCAGTGCTCGGGGTACTCCTGGCCCAGTGCTCAGGGAACCATGAGGGGCGGGGGCTGCAGCCGGGGCCTCCCGCCCAGGCCAGCATGCAGCCAGCCTGGCCTGTGGACCCTGTCGCTCGGGACCTGACTTACAGCCTCAGCTGGGGGCTTCCCATTGTGCCCCCCGGAGGACTGCTGCATCGTCACTTCCTCCCCAGGAGAGGGGGCACAGTGGCAGGGGCAGAGGGGAACCGGAAGTGGCCCCTGGGGTGCAGAGGGGCAGGGCTGGAGCCACTCACCAAGTGTGGTAACGCCCCCCTGCCCCCCCATCCCCAGTACCTGGAGTCGGTGAGGCCCCTGATGAAGGAGGCCGACTTCAAACGGATGACGGCGCTGGCCGAGGACTTCGCCGTCCACCTGGGGCCCAAGCTGCAGTGGTACCTGAAGCTGAAGTCCTGGTGGGCGACAAATTACGTGAGTCTGGCTTTTCTTTTCTTTTTTTTTTTCCTTTTTGGGTCACACCCGGTGATGCTCAGGGTTCACTCCTGCCTCTGCACTCAGGGATCACTCCTGGTGGTGCTCGGGGGACCCTATGGGATGCTGGGAATCCAACCCAGGTCGGCCGCGTGCAAGGCAAAGGCCCTACCCACTGTGCTATGACTCCAGCCCCCCGAGTCTGGGTTTTCTAGCGCTGCGGGGTTCCGTCCCCAGGACCACCCCGGGACGAGCCACTGGCCACAGCCAGGGCCAAGGGGCTCTGTTGGGAATGTCCTGTCCCATGGGCTGAGAACTTTCCTCCGCCCGGTGAATGAAGAGGGTCGTCTTAGCCGTGGTACTGAAGGTGCCAGCAGTGCTCTGGGCCAACCAGCGGACAGTCTGAAAGTGGCCAGGTGGTCAGTGGCCGTGTCTGGGGGGGGCAGGAGGTGGTCGTGCGTGTGGCGTGCTCTGGTTTTGACCCGGGGTGCAGTTTGTGACGCCTTCTTGGGGACTCTTCCACCCTCGGGTGCGCCTTCACTGCACGCTTCCCCCCAGACACAGCACGGTGGGCCTGGGCCAGGCTGCGGCAGGCGGCGTCCTGCCCGCAGGGGCATCCCTGGAGCCCCTCTCCTTGGCCCATGGTGTTGGGGTGTGCCGTGAGGTGACCCCAGGCACAGGAGGCCGAGACCCATCCGAGGAGCAAGTTCCGGGTGTGTGTTGGCGGGGGCAGGGCGGGGACCCTGCACCCACGAGGCCGGGGCTCAGCTGGTTTGGGGGTCCCGCAGGTGAGCGACTGGTGGGAGGAGTACGTGTACTTGCGTGGCCGGGGGCCACTGATGGTCAACAGCAACTACTACGCCATGGTGAGTGCCCGGCGCTGCCCGCTGGGAGGTGCTGATGGGGGCGGGGCAGCGGGGGGCGGCGGGGGCTCCGTCTGGGGGTGCCTGGTTTCACCCGGTCCTTACCCCTCTGCTTCTGCTTTTTCTCTTTCTCCCTCTCCTTTCTCTCACTGTTTTTTTTTTCTTTTTTCCTTTTCTGTGTTTGGGCTGGAGCAATAGCACAGTGGTAGGGAGTTTGCCTTGCACGCGGCCAACCCGGCCGTCCCAGGTTCGATTCTTCCGTTCCTCTCGGAGAGCCCGGCAAGCTACCGAGAGTATCTCCACCCGCACAGCAAAGCCTGACAAACTCCCTGTGGTGTATTCGATATGCCAGACACAGTAACAACAAGTTTCACAATGGAGACGTTACTGGTGCCCACGTGAGCAAATGGATGAACAACGGGAGGACAGTGCTACAGTGCTATATTTTGTTACTCCGCCCCTCTCGGAGAGCCTGGCAAGCTACCGAGAGTATCTTGCCCACACGGCAAAGTCTGACAAGCTCCCTGTGGCGTATTCGTTATGCCAAACACAGTAACAAGTCTCATAATGGAGACGTTACTGGTGCCCGCTCGAGCAAATCGACGAACAACGGGAGGACAGTGCTACAGTTCTGTATTTGGGCCACACCTGGCCGTGCTCGGGGCTGACTCCTGGCTCTGCACTCAGGGGCCGTGTGGGCGTATGGGGTGCCAGGGATTGAACCCGGGTGGGCCACATACTGTCCTTCCCGCTGTGCTGTGGCTCTGGCCCTTTCCCCCCTCACGCTTCTGGCGCTTCTCTTTAGCCTAAACACCGTGGCCGTGGTGAGGCTCCATCTCGTGCCTGCTGGCATCTCTGCCCGCACCCGGGGGGCCGCCGTTCCTGCTGCTCTGTCCTGGCTGGGCCTCGCACCCATGCGCTCCCCGGCCTCTGCGTCCGGCCCCGGGGAACAGCGAACCTTGGAAGTGCGAGTCCCCCCGGAAGGCGGGGCGCGCTGCCGCCTGGGGTCCCTCTGCAGAGCAGGGTCTGGGTTCCCTCTCGGCCCCCTGCACACCCCCAGGGTGGATGGGGCTTTGCTTTGCCTTCCTGGTCCCTGGGGGGCTCCCGGGGGCCCTCGGTTCTGCTCCTTGAGGGTGCTGCTCTCTCGGGGGCCGAGCGCGACTGGGCGGGGACCGTGGGGATGGCTTGGGGTGGGAGGCGCTGGGGGCCATCTGGGGTGCAGGGGCGTGCCCTGAGCTGCCGACCCCCCTCCCGCCCCAGGACCTGCTCTACATCATCCCCACGCACATCCAGGCCGCACGGGCGGGCAACGCCATCCACGCCATCCTGCTGTACCGGCGTAAGCTGGACCGCGAGGAGATCAAGCCGGTAGGGAGACTGACCGGCCCGTGGGGACCAGCCACGGTGCATCCTGGTGGGCCGCTCCGTGTGCCCCCTCTGAGGGCGTCCAGAGCCTCCAGGCCCGGCCCCCCAGCCCCTCCCCTCCCGTCCTCCGCTGTCCCCTGGGCTTGTGGCATTTTCCAAAACTTGATGCCAGCGGCCCAGGCAAAAAGGCCACTTTCGTGGGTCCGCTCACGCCACGGAGCTTTCCTGAGGGCTAAATCTCCCGACTACCCGAAGTGGCTGAGGGGCTTGGGATGAGTCCTGGAACTCGGAAGGAAAACACGGAGCTGGTTTGGTGCTCCAGGGGAACCAGACCTTGTTCACTGCCAGGGTGTGTGTGTGTATGTGTGTGTGTGTGTATGTGTGTGTGTGTGTGCGTGTGTGTGCGTGTGTGTGTGTGTGTGTGAGTGTGGGTACATCTTTGCGCGCGCGCGCGTGTGTGTGTGTGTGTGCAGGTGCTTGGGACCACCAGGGCTATAACCAGGAAGTGCTGAAGGGCCTCCTCCCCCTTCTCCTTCTCTTTCCTCCCTCTCCTCCTCCCTCCCTCTCTCCCTCATCCCTCCTCCTTCCCTCCCTTTCTTCTCTCTCCTCCTCCCTCCACCCTCCTTCCTCCCTCCCTCCCTGCAGGGGTCCCCTGAGTCCCACTGAAGCCCCAACATCTCTCCCTTAGCGCCTGTGTAAGCCGTTATCCTGTTCCTCTGTGTGTGTGGGGGGGGGTGCGCTGTCCCCCTCTGCCCGGGGGCACATTGCGCTGTCCCCTCTGCCCGAGGCACTGCAGTCTCAGCACTGGAAACATTGTTGTTGTTCCAGATTCTCCTTCTGGGGTCCACCATCCCGCTCTGCTCGGCCCAGTGGGAGCGGATGTTCAACACGTCTCGGATCCCGGGAGAGGAGACAGGTGAGGCCCCAGGCCCCTGGGAGCCCACGGCCAAGCTCACCGCGGGGCCCTCTGTCCCGGAGACCTTTCCCGGGCGGGCGTGTCACTGGGCCCGCAGGTCGCCGGGTCCCTTGGGATGCTCAGTTCCGGCTCACTCCTGGTTCCCCAGCACACCCCAGAGCTCCACGGGCTGAGCTGACCCTGGCACGGATCCTGCGGTCCAGCGCCGCGTAGGTGTGGGGTCCCGGGGCGGGGGTGTCCAGGTGTCTGTCCCTTGTCCCGTGACGTCCTTGGCGTCCTTCTGTCACGTCAAGGCAGTGCGGGCCACGCCCACCCGCTCTGCCCGGCCCTCACGCTGCTGTTGGCATGGTAGCACAGCAGGAAGCGAGCGCAGCCCCCTCACCTCGGGGTCTCTGAGCCCACTGACGCCCCTCGGGGCAGAGGGTGGTCCCTGGGTGACAGACGCTCAGAGAGCTCGGGGGCAGGCCGTGTGCTGTGTGTCGGCCTGGGGACCCTGGCTGGGCCCCTCCACACCTGGGATGCCTCGTGGACGGCAGCACAAGGTCCTGAGGTCACGGGGGCTGTGACAGTGCCCAGAGGTCGTGCCCTCCGGCTCCTGCTTCAGAGACATCTCAGGTGTGGTAGCCAGGAAGGACTGTGGCCTGGCGGTCACGCGTGTGCCCTGCAGGATATGGAGCAGGGGGGCAGGGGGCAGATGGAGACACGGGAGAGAGTGTGTGTCTGTGTGTTGTCTGGTCTCACCCTGACGCGTCCTTCCTGGGTGACTCATCCTGGCGGGTGGGGGTGGTGGAAATGGGCCTGTCTGGGTGTCTCCAGGCTCGGGGGGGCAGGAGGGGGGCAATATTCCTGACCTTTTGGTATTTTTGTAACATTTGGGGGCCACACCCGGCAGTGTTCAAGGGTTCCTCCTGGCTCTGTACTCAGGGATCACTCCTGGCGGTGCTCAGGGGACCCTGTGGGATGCTGGGAAGTGACCCAGGGTCAGCCGCGTGCAAGGCAAGGACCCTCCCTGCTGGACTATTGCTCCAGCACCTATTTTTAATTTTTTTTTAATTTACGGTAATGATTCGATATTCCAAACACAGTAACAAGAAGTCTCACAATGGAGACGTTACTGGTGCCCCCTCGAGCAAATCGATGAACAACGGGAGGACAGTGCTATGGTGTTAGGGTGATGATTAATATTTCTGGTTTGGGGCCACACCTGGTGGTGCTCAGGGGACCTGTTGGTGCCCGGGATGGAACCGGGGTGGGCCAGGGGCAGGGTGGGCGCCTTCACACCACGCTGTCCCTCCCGTCCCCCAACGGACTGGGCAAGTCAATTCTGTAATCGGGACGTGCAAGCCCTCAGTGTTGCCCTTTTCGGGGTTGGTCAGTCTCTTGGGGGTCCCCTGACACCGCGTGGGAGTCTTAGGATGAGTTTTCCTCTTTCTGCCAAGAGCGCTGGGGTCTCTAGGGGAGGGTCCTTAGCAACTCCAGCAGGACTCTCGGTGGTGTAGACGCGCGATTGCTTTTCTGTGCGGGCCCCACACGTCTCCCGTTGTGGTGCGTCTTCCTTTCCTCGTGGCAGCGTTTGTGGTCGGCATTGGGTCTCCCCTGCCCGATGCCTGACGCTCTGCTCTTTCTGACGCTGCTGTGGGCACCATTGTTTCTGGGTTTCCTGGTCAGAGCGTTCCCGTGGCACCAGGGACACAGCCCACAGCGGGTGTTGGTTTGGTGTCAGGTTCCGTTGCTGCCTTGATTCATTCCAGCAGGATTTTTGTGACTTTCTTCCGGTTTTCTAAATAAAGATCTTTTCCTCTGGGAATACACAGTCTGACTTTTTCCTTTCCAATTTGGATGCTTTTTATGTATTTATTTTTAACTTTATTTTCATTTATTTATTTCTTTTTTGCTTTTTTGGGTCACACCCGGCAATGCTCAGAGGAGTTCCTCCTGGGTCTACACTCCAGAATTACTCCTGGTGGTGCTTGGGGGACCATATGGGATGCCGGGGATCGAACCCTGTTTCTTTTTTTTTTTTTTTGCTTTTTGGGGTCACACCCAGCGGATGCTCAGGGGTTACTCCTGGCTCTGCACTCAGGAATCACTCCTGGCGGTGCTCGGGGGACCATATGGGATGCTGGGAATCGAACCCAGGTCGACCATGTGCAAGGCAAACGCCCTACCCGCTGTGCTATCACTCCAGTCCCTTTTTTTAATTTAATTCTTTATTTATTTATTTTTTGACCCACGATGCTTTATTTATTTTTTTTTATATTTATTTATTGAATCACTGTGGGAAAAGTTACAAAAATTTTAGGTCCAAGTCTCAGTTATGCAATGAGCAAATATATTTCCCTTCAACAGCATTCATCTGTTCTTGGTGTTCTTTGGTCAACCTTTTTTATCTCTACAGTGGCCGATTTATCTCTACAGTTTTTTATCTCAACCTTTTTTATCTCTACAGTTGCCACTTTCATTTTGATATTAGAAATAGTCATTTCTGACTTTTCCTTTTTGGAGGGGTGGTGTTCGGGGGCTCACGCTGCAGTGCTCGGGGGATCATATGGTGCCGGGGCCCAAACCCTGAGTGCCCACATGCGCCGCGCGTGCTCCAGCCCCGGGATCCATTTCTCTGGCCCTTGACTTTCTCTTCTCGGGGCGCCGTCTTTCCCAGGAGCAGGCCTCCGCTTTCCCTGCTTTCCTTTCATTGTTCTGACCTGACATTTATCTCCCCCCTAATCGTCTTCTTTTCTCTTCCTTTCTTTACTCCTTTTCTTCTTGTTTTGTTTTTTGATTTGGGGGCCAGCACCCGACTCCGCTCAGGGCTGACTCCTGGCTCTGCACTCAGGGGTCACTCCTGCTGGTGCTTGGGGGCCCCTGGGGCGCCGGGGTCTGACCCTGGATGGCTGTGAGCAAGGCCAGTGCTCGGCTCACCGTGCTCGTCTCCCTTGGCTTCTTCCTCCTCGCTCCTTCTCCTTTCTGGGCCCCTGAGCAGGAAAGTCCCCTGTAGGTTTGAGGTTTTTTTTTTTTTTTTTGTCACACCGTTTTCTCTGAATGACACAGTGCTCAGAGGTCATTCCTGGTGTCGAGGGAGCGTGTGCTGCAGGGGGCAGAGTACAGGGCCGTGGCTATTGCTGACCAGGGGTCTGCACGAGCCCGGGATGATGCGTCCAGTGCGCTGCGACGCTGCCCGCCTCCTGCTCCGGCGGCGGCGTCCGTCCGCTCCGTGGCCCGGTTGACGGCGAGCCCCGTCCCGGTCCCCGCGCTGAGGCGCCGCCGTCTCTCCCGCCTGCCTGTCCGCAGACACGCTGCAGCACCTGCGCGACAGCAAACACATCGTGGTGTTCCACCGCGGCCGCTACTTCAAGGTGTGGCTGTACCACGACGGCCGCCTGCTGAAGCCCCGCGAGATCGAGCAGCAGATGCAGAGCATCCTGGACGACCCGTCGGAGCCGCAGCCCGGCGAGAAGAAGCTGGCGGCCCTCACGGCCGGAGAGAGGTGCCCGCCCTGCCACCTGCCCGCGGGTGGCCCCCACTGCGTCTGCACGTGTGTGTGCGTGTGTACGTGTGTGTGTGCACGCACGTGTGTGTCTGTGTGTATGTGGTGTGTATGTGTGTGTGCATGTGTGTACATGCGCACGTGTGTATGCGTGTGCACATGTGCTTGTGTGTATATGTGTGTGCACGTGCATGTGTATGCATGTGTGTACACGTGTGTGCACATGTGTGCACACACGTGTGTATGTGCGTGGTGCATGCATGTGTGTGGATGTACGTGCATGCGTGTGTATGTGTATGTGTGTACGTGCACATGTGCGTGTCGTGTGTGCATGTGTGTATGTGGTGTGTGTGCACGTGTGCACACGCACACGTTTGTGTGTGCACGTGTGCTTGTGTATATGTGTGCACGTGCATGTGTATGTATGTGTGTGCACGTGCGCACGTGTGTGTGTGCACACATGTGTGTATGTGTGTGCATGCATGTGTGTGGACGTGCGTGCATGTGTGTATGTGTATTGTGTATGTGTGTATGCGCGCATGTGCATGTTGTGTGTGCATGTGTGTGTACACATGAGTGTGTATGTGTATGTACGTGTATGTGCACGTGTTGTGTGTGTGTATGTGTGTGTGTACGCATGTGTGTACGTGTAGGCTTGCACATGTGTGTGTGTGTGTGTGTGTGTACGTGTGTGTGTTGGGGCGGGTGGACTCGGACTTGGTGCAGGGGGTGGCCAGGGCCGCCTCTCACAATGCTGGACCCAGCGTTGCCAGGGATTGAGCTCGGGGCTTCACACGTGCGAGGCAAGGGCGCTGCCACTTGGGTGTCTCCTGGGCCTGGCTCACTCTTCCGTGGTCATGGGGCGTGGACATTTGGCCGTGGTACTTGCAGGCTGCGCCATCGGCAGGTCCTCGGCATGTGGGGAGGGGGGAGGCCGGCTGGGCCTGACGTGGCCCCTCCCTGCAGGGTGCCCTGGGCCAAGTGCCGCCAGACCTACTTCGCCCGCGGGAAGAACAAACAGTCTCTGGACGCCGTGGAGAAAGCCGCCTTTTTCGTGACCCTGGACGAGACGGAGCAAGGCTACAAGCAGGAGGACCCGGTCAGCTCCATGGACAGCTATGCCAAGTCGCTCCTGCACGGCCGGTGCTATGACAGGTAGCCGGGCCTTTGTGGGGGCGGGGCTCTGCCTCCCCGTGGCGTCCCTGGGCTGGGGCCATAGTGCATACCTGCCGCAGGCTCCTTCCTCTGGAGCACCTGCAAGCGCCTGGCGTGAGCCCTGTCACTCGAGGCCCTTTGGGTTGGGGTGCTGGGGTCAAACCCGGGCCTGGCAAGTGCGAGCGAGTGCTCCAGAGCCCCGGCCGGGGCTTCCCTCTGGCCCTCTTTGTTTACTTGTTTTTCTGAACCACACCCGGCAGTGCTCAGGCTGACTCCTGGCTCTATGCTCATTCCTGGTGGAGCTCAGGGAGCCATATGGGGTGCCTGGGGCTTGAACCCGGAGCCGGCTGCTTGCAAGGCAAGCGCACTCCCCACGGTGCTCTCTCTCCAGCCCCATTCTTGTGGGATTCGTAGGGCCCCACCCTCCTTTCTCTGCTGGTGGGGCCCCAGACACCAGCGCCTTCTCTCTAAGCTGCCCTGTGTGCCCTATGGTGGCTGCGGGGAGCGCGTTTGCTTTGCAGGCACCTGACCAAGGCACCATTCCTGGCATCTCGCATGGTTCCCCAAGGCTGCCGGGAGGGAGTCCCAACAGAGTCAGGGTCGACCCCTGAGCACCACCAGGTGTGAGCCCCAAACAAGCAGAAGAACCAAAAAAAATGAATTTGGAGGGTCAGAGAGATAGCCCTGTGGGCCCGAGACGGGGAGATCTTAGCACCATGTGTGGCCCCAGCACCGTGGGCTGCACTTCCGGACACCCCCAACCCTACGACCTCAGGTCCTAGCACCAACTGCTGCTCTGCGGGGCTCAGAAGCACTGGGAGTGGCCCCGGGGCCCCCTGAGTGCCATTGGGAGGGTCCCCCCAAAAGGGCCTTTCAGGCCGGGGAGGCATGAGGGGTTGAGCTCAGCTTGGCCTGCCCGGCCGGGCTCCATCCTCACCACCGGAAGCTCCCCGAGTAAATGAGGAAAAAGGAGTCTTGGATCTTCTCTCCCGCCAGCTGTCCCACACTCTCACACAGGCTCATGCACACACACACACACACACACACACACACACACATGCATGCACACGTGCGCACATACTTGTACTCATGTGCACATGTATGCATTCACCCTCACGTGCACGCTCACATTCCCATCCAAACACAGGTTCACACAGACACGCAAACGTTCACGTGCACTCACACACACTCACAGCCACACACACAGACACGCACTTACACACTCACACAGGCTCTCACACGTTCACACATACACACAAGCACAATCTCAGACACACTCAGACATGCACTCACACACATGCACTCACAGTCACGTTCACACACTCAGACACTCACATACTCACACACAGACACAGAACGTGTTGCAGGAGTGAAGCTCTGCCCTTGCATGCCCGCCTCTGTTTGAGACGTGAGTGAAGAGAGAGGGTGTGCTCCGGAACCGCAGGTCCTTCCCTCCCTTCTCCACCCTTCTCCTCCCTTGCTCCCTCCCTCCCTCCCGCCCTCCCGCCCTCCTTTCTCTGCTGGTGGGGCCCCAGACACCAGCGCCATCTCTCTAGGCTGCCCTGTGTGGCCTGTACGTGACCCTGCCCTGCCCCTCCCCGTCCCATCCTGTTCTAGCTCTGGGTCACCGCCCAGCTCTGCAGCCAGCATAAGAAAGGGAATTGGATGGGGCTGGAGTGATGGCACAGTGGATAAGGCGTTTGCCTTGCATGCAACGAACCCAGGTTTGATTCCCAGCATCCCATATGGTCCCCCAAGCAGCCGAGCCAGGAGTAACCCCTGAGCATCGCCGGGTGACCGCAAAAGCAAAAAAAAAAAAAGAAGATAGAAAGAAAGGGAATTGGAGGGACTGGAGCGTTTGCCTTGCACGCGGCCACCCCGGGTTCGATTCCCAGCATCCCGTATGGTCCCCCTGAGCATCGCTGGGTGTGACCCAAAAAGCAAAAAAATAAAAAGGGAATTGGAGTCGAGGTCTTTGTCCCTGGGCGGTGCAGAGTGACTTGCTCAGGGCAAGAGAGATCCCAGCCGTGCTTGAGGGTCAGTCCTGGTGGTGCCCGGGGCCCTTGTGTGCAGGGTCAAACCCGAGGCCCTACAGACAGAGCCTGTGCCCGGCCCCTGCACCCTCTCCCCAGCCCTGGTGCCACCCATGTGAAACGCGCTTAACTTCTGTACGCTTCTGTCTCCCACAGGTGGTTTGACAAGTCATTCACATTCATCGTCTTCAAAAATGGCAAGATGGGCATGAACACCGAGCACTCGTGGGCCGACGCGCCCATCGTGGGCCACCTGTGGGAGGTGAGTCCCGGGGGAGGTGAGTCCTGTGGGAGGTGAGATCTGTGGGAGGCAAGTCCTGTGGGAGGCGAGTCCCGGGTAGGTGAGTCCTGTGGGAGGCGAATCCTGTGGGAGGAGAGTCCCGGGTAGGTGAGTCCTGTGGGAGGTGAGTCCTGGATAGGTGAGTCCTGTGGGAGGTGAGTCCCTGTGGGAGGCGAGTCCTGTGGGAGGAGAGTCCCGGGTAGGTGAGTCCTGTGGGAGGCGAGTCCTGTGGGAGGTGAGTCCTGGATAGGTGAGTCCTGTGGGAGGTGAGTCCCTGTGGGAGGCGAGTCCTGTGGGAGGAGAGTCCCGGGTAGGTGAGTCCTGTGGGAGGCGAGTCCTGTGGGAGGAGAGTCCCGGGTAGGTGAGTCCTGTGGGAGGTGAGTCCTGTGGGAGGAGAGTCCCGGGTAGGTGAGTCCTGTGGGAGGCGAGTCCTGTGGGAGGTGAGTCCCTGTGGGAGGCGAGTCCTGTGGGAGGTGAGTCCTGGATAGGTGAGTCCTGTGGGAGGTGAGTCCCTGTGGGAGGCGAGTCCTGTGGGAGGTGAGTCCTGGGTAGGTGAGTCCTGTGGGAGGCGAGTCCTGTGGGAGGTGAGTCCTGGATAGGTGAGTCCTGTGGGAGGTGAGTCCCTGTGGGAGGCGAGTCCTGTGGGAGGCGAGTCCTGTGGGAGGTGAGTCCTGGATAGGTGAGTCCTGTGGGAGGTGAGTCCCTGTGGGAGGCGAGTCCTGTGGGAGGTGAGTCCTGGGTAGGTGAGTCCTGTGGGAGGCGAGTCCTGGGTAGGTGAGTCCTGTGGGAGGTGAGTCCTGTGGGAGGCGAGTCCTGTGGGAGGCGAGTCCTGGGTAAGTGAGTCCTGTGGGAGGTGAGTCCCTGTGGGAGGCGAGTCCTGTGGGAGGCGAGTCCTGGGTAAGTGAGTCCTGTGGGAGGTGAGTCCTGTGGGAGGTGAGTCCCGTGGGAGGTGAGTCCCATGGGAGGTGAGATCTGTGGGAGGCAAGTCCTGTGGGAGGCGAGTCCTGTGGGAGGTGAGTCCCTGTGGGAGGCGAGTCCTGTGGGAGGTGAGTCCTGGGTAGGTGAGTCCTGTGGGAGGTGAGTCCCTGTGGGAGGTTGAGTCCTGTGGGAGGTGAGTCCCTGCTGTGGTCTGAGTTGTGTGTGGAAGTTGCAACTGTGTGTTTTCCCCGTGCCACCCAATGAGAGTGACGTCAGGTGTCCTGCAGGCGTGCCCCCCCCCCTCCCCCCCCCCCCCCCCCCCCCCCCCCCCCCCCCCCCCCCCCGCCCCAGCAGTGGAGCCTCTTGTCTCGGGTCTGGGGCTTCTTCCCTCGGGTGCGCCCCCTGGTGGCTGGGAGACCAGTTCGTGGCAGCAGGGCCAAGACTTGGGGGCACAACCCCGAATCTGTCTCTCCGTCTCCTGGAGTTTCTTCTTTTTTGCATTGTTGTGGCCGTGACACTCCAGGCTTCAGGGGTCACCAGAGCCACATCTGGTTCTTCAGATTTTTCCACGGGGTCTGGGGGGGGGGGGGCGACTCCCACGTCCTCACTACCCAGAGTTGATCACCCTGGGGCTTGACCCACCAACATTCAAAATCAATGTATTCGTTTGCTTACCTAGTGGGGGGCTGGGCACGGAGCCAGGCCTTCCGCCTCTGACCGTGTGCTCCAGCCCCGGTGCTCACGTGCTCCAGGCCTGGTTTTCCTTTTTTCCAGAATTCTTTCTTCTTGGTGTTGCTTAAAGTGTTTCACGTGTGATATGAAAATATCAGAATGAAATGCTGAACTCTTCTGTCGCGTTCTCACGGAAAGAAATCTCTCCATTCTGGGCTTCTGCCCGGGGCCTTGACCCCAGAGGGTTTTCTCTTGCTCTCGGGAGCTTCTGGCCATGCTGGGCATCTGGTTTTCGTGAGTTTGGGGATCTCGACCCTTCAGGTTGTCAGGTTGTCTGCCCCTGTTGCTTCTGGAATGGACCTCCTGCCAGGACGCACCTCCTCCTGCAGGCAGGATGCCTGGCTTTCTGCAGTGTCACTTCTGGTGGGGGAGAGTCCCTCGCCCGTGCCCCAAAACTGGGTTAGGAACGGGGCTCAGACCACTCAGCGGTGGGTTCTCTTTTTGTTGTTGTTGTTGTTTTTTTGGGCCACACCCGGCAATGCACAGGGGTTCCTCCTGGCTCTGAACTCAGGAATTACTCCTGGCGGTGCTCAGGGGACCATACGGGTTGCTGGAAATCGAACCCGGCTCGGCCGCGGGCAAGGCAAATGCCCTACCTGCTGTGCTATCACTCCAGCCCCAGCGGTGGGTTCTTTGTCCTGATTTTTCTTCTTGTTTGGTTTTGGGCCACACCCGGCAGTGCTCAGGAGTACCTGGCTCTGCGCTCAGGGATCACTCCCAGTGGGCTCGGGATATGGGGGTGCTGGAGACGGGACCCACTGTTTCTGCTGTGCTGTTGTTCCGGCCTGTCCTCTTGCTAAGGTCTTGGTAAAACTGCCCGGGGAGGTTTTCCAGGTGGAGAAAGTCCCGGAGGAGAAGTCAGAGGTCCAGCCGGGAAGGAGCCGTGGCCCGGCCTCTCCCCTGGCCCAGAGCAGCCGCTGCCCCCAGGGCTCCTTCTCACAGGCGCCGACAAAGGTGCCGCTTGCAGCTGATAAGCGGGGCCGGGTCAAGCTCCCTCGGCGTTTCTGCATGACGCAGCCCCGGCCGTGCAGAGCGGCAGGCCCGGCTTGCCCTGCCCTGTCCCGGGTGCTCTCGAGTCAGTGGACCCGCCCTGAGCCACTGGCGGGCACGGGCAGGCGCCTGCCCAGGAGCGGGCCCTGCTTGGGTGGTTCCAGCTTCTCAGGCCGAGGCGGGATGAGGTGCGGCCCCACGAGGGTGACCATTGGCAGTGCCCTGGGGTCACTCTTCCCGCCCACTGGCACCAGGGCCCAGACAGGAGCACCCCCCCACCCCTGCCCCGCACGGTGGGGGAGGGCGGGGCTGCTGTCTCTGAGGTCATGGGCAAGTTCAAAGAGATGCTGCCTCCTGGTCCTCCCCCCAACCTCCCTGCCTCCTCACCATCTGCCCTTGCGTACCTTTCACCTTCCCCACGGAAATGAAATCCTGACTCGGTCTGAATGTGTGTGAATGTGTGTGATGTGAATATGAGTGTAATGTGTGTGTGTGTGTGAATGTCTATGTGTGTGAATGTGTGTGACGTGAAGATGAGTGTGAATGTGTGTATGTGTGTGCATGTGTGTTTGTGTGTCTGAATGTATATGTTTGTATATGTATGTGATTGTGTGAATGTGTGTGGTGTGAACATGAGTGTGAATGTGTGTCTATGTGTGTGAATGTGTGTGAATGTGTATGTTTGTATATGAATATGAATGTGTGATGTGAATATGAGTGTGAATGTGTGTGTGAATGTGTGTGATGTGAATATGAGTACGTGTGTGTGTATGTGTGTGCATGTGTGTTTGTGTATCTGAATGTATATGTTTGTATATGTATGTGATTGTGTGAATGTGTGTGGTATGAACATGAGTGTGAATGTGTGTATATGTGTGTGAATGTGTGTGATGTGAATATGAGTGTAATGTGTGTGTGTGAGTGTCTATGTGTGTGAATGTCTATGTGTGTGAATGTGTGTGACGTGAAGATGAGTGTGAATGTGTGTATGTGTGTGCATGTGTGTTTGTGTGTCTGAATGTATATGTTTGTATATGTATGTGATTGTGTGAATGTGTGTGGTGTGAACATGAGTGTGAATGTGTGTGAATGTGTATGTTTGTATATGAATATGAATGTGTGATGTGAATATGAGTGTGAATGTGTGTAGGCATGTGTGAATGTGTGTGATGTGAATATGAGTACGTGTGTGTATATATGTGTATGTATGTGTGAATGTGTGTGTGAATGTGTATATGTGTGTGAATGTGCGTATATGTGTGTCAATGTACATGTTTGTATCTGTATGTGAAGGTGTGAATGTTTGTATGTGTGTGTGAATGTGTGTTTGTGTGTGTATGTGTGTCTGAATGTATATGTTTGTATATGTATGTGAATGTGTGAATGTGTGATGTGAATGAGTGTGAATGTGGGTATGTGTGTGTGAATGTGTGCGATGTGAATATGAGTGTGAATGTGTGTATATGTGTGTGTGAATCTGCGTGTGTGTGAATGTGTGTATGTGTGTGACTGTGTGTGTGTGTTTCCCTTTGGGGGCTTGTAACTCTCATGCCATCCCCTGTAGCCTCTGAGTGCCTCCTGGGGGTCGGGGTGGTACTTAGCCAGTGCCCCTGCGGCCCCCAGCACTGTTAATCCCGGTTTCATTGCCCTCTGAAGCCCCCCCAGCCCTGGTGGCCACTTCTGCTTCCTCCCTTGGGCCCGTGTGAGGGAACCCCGGGTCCCCTCGGGGCTTCTCTGGCCTCCCTCCCTGCTTCCTTCCATCCCTTCGTCCACGTTTTGTTTGCTGGCTCATCTCGGGGGGCACTGACAGGCGCCCCCTTCACTGCCCTTCAGCGGAGAGTGGGCAGGAATGGCGGGACTCAGCGCCACGTGAACTCGGGGGTCAGGGCCAGAGTGCTGCCTGGTGGGGTTCAGTGCTGGGACGCATGGTCAGTGCTGAACAGAGAGGCATCGGGTGGACCCCAGTGAGGAGAGAACCCCCCTGCCCAGCCCTCGATCCTGCTGTCCTGGGCGTGGGAATGGGAATTAGCAGACGGACCCAGGCACACAGTGGGACTCAAGGCTCCCTCAGATGCTCTGGGCGGGCGTTAAACCCGGGGGGTTCTGCGGACCAAACCTGGACCCTTGGGGCTGGAGCGATAGCACGGCAGGCAGGGCGTTTGCCTTGCGCGCGGCCGACCCGGGTTCGATCCCGGTATCCCATATGATCCCCTGAGCACCACCAGGAGTAATTCCTGAGTGCAGAGCCAGGAGGAATCCCTGTGCATCTCCAGGTATGACCCAAAAAGAAAAAAAAAAACACAAAAACTGGGCCCTGGACCCCAAGGCTCCACCCTGACCATTAGTCTCTGGGGGACTGAGGTTCCGGGGTGAGAGAGAGGCTGGTGTGCGCTGACATCCTTGTGTGGGGGGACTCAGTAGTGCTGATGGGCCCTGGGTGCTCCTGGCTGTGCTTGTCTCTACACGACCATGTTTGGGCTGGTGCTGAGGTGTGGCCCGGGCCCCTTGGTGTTGGGGGCCGAAAACAGGCGATCCCGGGGCTCAGACTTGGGCCCCGTCGCCCGGAGGCTCCTGCGACGTTTCTCTCTGTCTCCGCAGTACGTCATGTCCACGGACTGCTTCCAGCTGGGGTACACGGAGGACGGGCACTGCAAAGGCCACGTCAACCCGAGCCTCCCACAGCCCACGCGGCTGCAGTGGGACATCCCGGAGGAGGTGAGCCGAGGGGCGGGGGCTGGCGTTGTTTCTGCTCCCTGGGAAACGCACGCCGCCGTCCTGGCGAGACTTTCCGCTCAGAATGGGAAAAGGGCCGGAGCGAGAGCACCGTTGGGAGGGCACTGCCTGGCACGCCTGGCATGCAGCCAGGCTAGCCTCGATCTGTGGCATCCCCTGAGGTCCCCTGAGCCCACCAGGAGTGACTCCTGAGCCCGAGCACTGCTGGGTGTGACCCCTATCAGAAAAGAAAAGAAAGGGACTGCAGAGATAGCACAGCGGGTAGGGCATTTGCCTTGCACACGGCCGACCCGGGTTCGATTCCCAGCATCCCATATGGTCCCCTGAGCACCGCCAGGAGTAAACTCCTGAGTGCAGAGCCAGGAGGAACCCCTGTGCATCACCCAGTGTGACCCAAAAAGCAAAAAAAAAAAACCAAACAGAGGGGCCCAGGAGGGGACGCTGTGGTCAGTCTCTTGGTCACCCCCGTCCACCCACCTCACAAAACCCCTCGTGCTGGTAGGGTCCCCCCCAGAAGCTGGGAGCCCCCGAGACCTCTCGCGTTCCTTCCACTCACAGCCCCCACGGCCCTTCCGGGGACTGGGCCCCCCCCATGGCTGTCCCTGGCGGCTCCTGTTCAGCCCGGGGAGGGTGTCGTGGGGGGTTGCCCTGATGTCAGCATCCTTCTTGGAGTGGTCGTTAGTAAAGACCCCTCTGTCCCTTTCTCAGTGCCAAGAAGTCATCGAGACAGCCCTGAGCAGCGCCACCGTGCTGGCCAACGACGTGGACTTCCACTCGTTCCCCTTCGACGCCTTCGGGAAGGGCCTCATCAAGAAGTGCCGGACCAGCCCCGACGCCTTCGTGCAGCTGGCCCTCCAGCTGGCGCACTACAAGGTGGGCAGGGCAGAAGAGCTGGCTTTCCCGGGAGTGGCAGCAGAGTGGCCCCTTGGGGGGTCCCTCACGGGGAGTGGGCATCCCCCTACCTGTGGCACGTCTCAGCATCCGCACACAGGAACACGGAGGGCGGAGGACCACTCTGGCTCTTGGTCTCTCTCTCTCTCTCTCTCTCTCTCTCTCTCTCTCTCTCTTGCTCTCTCTCTCTCTTGCTCTCTCTCTCTCTCATGCTTTTTGGGTCACACCCAGCAATGCTCCGGGGTTACTCCTGCTCTGCACTCAGGAATCACTCCTGGCGGTGCTCAGAGGACCCGATGGGATGCCGGGGACCGAACCCGGGTCGGCTACGTGTGAGGCAAACGCCCTCCCTACTGTGCCATCACTCCGGCCCTCTTGGCATCTCTTTCACAAGAAGGGGTCTCCCAGTCCCTGGGAGGGCTCCGGACAGGAGGGTCCCCCAGGCCCCGTCTCCTCTCTCGGCCCCTTCACGGTGTGGCGGGTGGTGTCATCGTTGTAAAAAGTCACCCAGGGACGTGTGTGTCCGTCCCATCGTGGGGCAGGGGTTGAGGACGCTGTGCTAGAAACAGCTGCCGGGCGGGACAGTGGTGCCAGCCAAGAGGGGGTTCCCAGAGAGATGCCCTGGGCAGCGACTGTTCATCAAAGCCTCGGCAGGCCTGGGGGCCGCTGAGTGCCCCCACCCAGAGCCCTCTGTGTCACGGAGCCAAACCCGGGGCCGCTCGCACGGGCCAGCCACTGCTCCCTCAGCCTGAGGCGCGTCCGTGGGCCATGGAGCTCCTTCCCCAGAATGCACTGTCATGACTAAGAGCCTGGGGAGCCCTGGAGAGGGTGAACAGGGGGCTCAAAGGCATCCCCATGATTGCTGAAGCAATCCTCCAGGCAGTCTGCACAAAGCGGGTTGAGCTCTGCAATAATTTTTTTTTTTTTTTGCTTTTTGGGTCACACCTGGCAATGCACAGGGGTTACTCCTGGCTCTGCACTCAGGAGTTACTCCTGGCGGTGCTCAGGGGACCCTATGGGATGCTGGGAATCGAACCCGGGTCGGCCGCGTGCAAGGCAAACGCCCTACCTATCGCTCCAGCCCCTCTGCAAGAATTTTTGAACGCTAAACATTTGTGACCCTTTGGTGACGTCTGTGGACACTTTTATAAGACAGTTGATGAGTAGGAAGCAAATATGGGCTGGGGGTGGGGTGGGGCGGTGAGCAAGGTCCTCACCTCACACGCGGATGACCCGGGCTCCATCCTCTGTACCACTCGGCCTTGCCAGAGTGATCCCTTGAGCATGGAGCTGGGAGTAAGCTCTGAGCACCTCTGGGTGGGGCCCCCAAGCAAACAAAACCCACAATTAATTCTGGTTCCACTCCTGGGCATCTGTCCGGGAGCACAGAGACACCAGCCTAACGGCTTCTCGCCGCATGGTGCTCACTCAGAGTGTCCAAGGACGGCGAGTGGACACAGAGGTCGTGGCCTGCCTGTATGCTGGAGTACTTCCCAGCTACCAGGAGGGGGGACGTTTCATCACCTGCTACCCTTTGCCAGGGTGCTTCAGGGTTAGGGGGCTGAGTCAGGGGGAAGGGCCGGTGCTGGGGGCCTGCGTCTTTGGGGCAAGTAAGGAACAAAGCCAAGGAATTGGGACGGGGCTATGACGGCCCCTCCTGGGACACTGTGTGCAGAGAGGAGGTCAGTGCGCGAGGAGCAGAGAGCAGCAGGGTAGACCAGAAGCAGGGACCGCAGTGGAAGGTCTGGGCCCTTCTGTTGCTGGGGACAGAGCAGTGACCCTCCTCCCGGCCATCGCTAAGCAGTTTCCCATCCGTTGCCGTCGTCGCAAAGACCAGCAGGGGGCGCCGTCTCACGATCTGCCGACACCCGATGACGGATGTGTGTTCCCAAAGAGGGACCGCGGCCTCCCACCGTGTCCCTGCTCCTTCGTGGCTGTTGGATAACCAGTGGCCAGAGCACAGTGCTTGGCCGTACCTGGCCCCAGAAGGTGGGTGCTGCCTGGGTCCCACGGGTGGCCCAGTGCTGGTGGAATTGTTGGTTTCAGCTACCGAAGAGGCCTGTCCCCAGAGACACCACATGGTTGCAAACCTCTGCCCATCGGGACCAGTGTCTCGGGCCTGTTGATGGTGGTGCTCACAGCACCCCGGGCCTGGCAGGTGCTGCTGGGAAGTTGTTTTCTGTCTCCATTTTTTGTTACTTGGGGGGGGGGGGGCAGAGCGATAGTAAGGTGGGGAGGGCGTTTCCAGATCAATAGTACAACGGGGGGGCTGGAGCAATAGCACAGCGGGTAGGGCGTTTGCCTTGCACGCAGCCAACATGACTGACACAGGTTCGATTCCCAGCACCCCCTATGGTCCCCTGAGCACCGCCAGGAGCAATTCCTGAGTGCATGAGCCAGGAGGAACCCCTGAGCATCGCCGGGTGTGACCCAAAAAGAAAAAAAAATAGTACAACAGGGAGGGCATTTCCGGAGTGACAGCACAGTGAGGAGGGCATTTGCCTTGCACACGGCTGACCCAGGTTTGATCCCCGATGACCATAGGGTCCCCCGAGCATCGCCAGGAGTAATTCTTGAATGCAGAGCCAGGAGGAACCTCTGTGCATCTCTGGCAATGACCCCAAAAGTGCCAAAAGGAAAACAAACTACCTTTGTCTCTTTGGGGCTTTTCCGAACCTTCCACCCTGCTGCCAGTGCTCCGGGCTACTCCTGGCAAGGGGCCTGGGGCTGCTTCTTGCAGTTTGGTGCCAGAGGTCACACCCAGGCCTCCAGTGTGTGACACCCGTCCACGGGCCCTTTGAGCCGTCTCTCTGCACCTTATTTCTTTCTTTCTTTTGCTTTTTGGGTCACATCCGGCGATGCACAGGGGTTACTCCTGGCTCTACACTCAGAAATTACCCCTGGCAGTGCTCAGGGGACCAAATGGGATGCTGGGAATCGAACCCGGGTTGGCCACGTGCAAGGCAAACGCCCAACCCGCTGTGCTATCACTCCAGCCCTGCCCCTTCTTTCTTAAGGAATCAAGGTGCTTTTTCAAAGTTCAGGGTGACTCCCTCTTGTATCTCTTCATACTTGAGTCTAGTCTTGGTCCTCTGAGGGAAACCACCAGAATTTCATCATTGGCCACTACACCACACCAATTTTTCACTCGACCTCTTAAACATGGCGTTGGGGCCAGGAATGAGGCTTAGCCACAGAGCACGTATGTCCCATATATGAAGGCCTGGATTGGCGCCATGGAGCAGGATTGATTAAAGGGAGCTTTTTTTTAAAATTTTTTTTTGTAATGATACTTTTTTTTATCATTTTGTAATTTTTTTTATCATTATGTAATGATACTTTTTTTTAGTTTTATTTATTTAATTTTTTAAATTCTATTGCATCACCGTGAGAAAGTTACAAGCTTTTATGTTTGGGTTACAATCGCACAATGATCAAACACCCATCCCTCCACCAGTGCACATCCCCCAACACCAATCTCCCTGGTATACCCCCCCCCTTTCCCACCCTCCCCCTGCCTCCATGGCAGACAATATTCCCCATACTCTCTCTCTCCTTTGGGGCATTATGGTTTGCAATACAGACACTGAGAGGTCATCATGTTTGGTCCATTATCTACTTTCGGCACACATCTCCCATCCTGACCGGTTCCTCAGGCCATCGTTTTCGTAGTGATCCCTTTTCTATTCCAGCTGCCTTCTCCCCTCTGCTCATGAGGCAGGCTTCCAGCTATGAGGCAATCCTCCTGGCCCTTGTATCTACTGTCCTTGGGTGTCAGCCTCATGTTATGTTATTCTAGACTCCACAAACGAGTGCAGTCCTTCTATGTCTGTCTGAAGAGAGCTATTAAGACTATTAAGACTACATCAGGCAGACTGGAGCCATAGTACAGCGAGGAGGGCACTTCTCCTGTGCCCAGCCGACCTGACCTCGGTCCCCAGTATCCCTTGTGGTCCCTTGAGTGTCACCAGGAGTGATCCCTGAGCATAAAGCCAGGAGTAACCCCTGAGCATCTTTGGGTGTGTGGGGGGCGAGGGGGGAAGGGAGGCTACTTCAGGGGTGGGCTGGAGAGATCAGCAGTGGGTCAGGCACTTGCCTTGCATGTGACTGACCAGGTTTGACACTCAGCCACCCAGATGGTCCCTGAGCCCTGCCAGGAGTGGTCGCTGAGCACTGTTGAGTGTGCCCCACCCCTCAAAAAAAAAAAAGAATCTATCTGGAGGTGGGGAGGCAGAGAGTTAGTCTAGGTCTTACAGCAGTGGTTTGCAGCGCTGACCCAGGGCAGTTCCTGGCACCACATAGGGACCCCCGGGAACTGTTGATAGTGGCCCCGAATAAACCAAGATGAATCAAGAGCACCTGGGCTCATTCTGGGTCCTGATTGGCACCCTGGGCAGCCCCTGCAGGTCCGCACTGCCCGCTAGAAGCCGTCCCGGGCTCCGATTCAGCCCAGAGGTACTGTGTGCTTCTGGGGGGCTGCTTCTGGTAGTTGGCCCTCGAGCTCCTGGGGGGATACAGGGGCTCCTCATCACATGATGGTGGGGACATGTGGAGGGAAACTCACAGGCCATGGGCCCCATCCACGCATGTGTCCGTGGTGTTGCCATGTGGGCTGCGAGGGTCTGGGGTCGCCCCGGAGCCCCGCGTGCAGATGTGGGCAGTGGCCCTGTCCCCTCGGTCCTGCCGGGGCTTTCTGGGTGTTCTGGTGGTGAAATAGCTCCATGGGTCCATTCAGAGGCTCAGCCAGCGGTTCCGCCCGTTTCCAAGTACTCTTGGAAATTCAGTAATGCCAGTTATGATCCAAGTTACTGCCCCGTCCCCCAAGTACAGGGACAAAGTACCCGCAGCACTGAACTGTGTGGAGCTCAACTGGTTCCGTGCCCCAGGACTCCTGCCCGCTCCTGAGAGAGCCCCGATGTGTCTGCTGAACCTGACAGCTCCCACTGGGCGTGGACAGTGTCCTCTGGGCGTGGACGGCTCCCACTGCCCCATATGAGAGTCGGAGCTGCCTGTGTCTGTCTGCGCATCACCCGTCAGAATGTTTGCTGGTTCCTGTGGATGGAACCCGAGGCCCCACGTGCTTTGATGCGCCCCAGACCATTCAGCCAGCCAGCCAGTCCCCGGTGGCTCTGTGAGGGCAGAGATGCCACCTGTCTCACTTGCCCACGTGACCCCGGGGGGAGGAGCACGCGAGCTACAGAGGAACAGGCACCCCCAAAGGTGCAGCACCTGGTGGCTTAGGGGTGGCCGTCTCGTGTGTCTGGTTGCTGCCACCTGCCTCTCTCTCTCTCTCTCTCTCTCTCTCTTTTTCTCTTTCTCGCTCCTCCTCCCCCTCTCCCTCCCTCCATCCAACCCTGTCCTTCCCTCCATCCCTCCCCCTTCCCCTCCCTCCAACCCTCCCTCCCTCCCTCCCTCTCTCCCTCCCTCTCTCCAACCCTTTCTCCCTCCCTCCCTCTCTCCATCCCTCTCTCCCTCCCTCCCGTCTGTCCCCTGCCCTCTGTGGCCTGGCCCTCAGCCTCTGTCTCTGTCTCTGGTTCTGCTCCTTAGATACGGGCCATGTGCTGGCAACGGCGGCGGCTTGTGGCAGGTTAAGTGAGGCTGCAGGTGTGGCCCCAGCTTGCACAGAGGGGTTTGTGCATGGGGGGCGGGGTATCCGAGTGGGGGGCGGCGTGCATGGCCCTGCTGACCACTCGCACGGTGATTAAGGTTTGGCGTGGACGAGCTGCATCCTGGACCCCCACTTAACCTCTGTGGAATGACTAAAACGCCCAGGGATTTCCCACCCCGGGTCCCCTCCCGCTGCTCCCTCTCCTCCCAGCTCCAGAAGGAACTTGAGGGTTAGACTCTTCTTGGCCTTGGCCTTGAGCATCATAGAACAGTGGTCCGTTTGCTCTTCCACCTCCTGGGCTATTAGGCTGGGGACGGATCAAACCGGGCCGCCCCTACCCTTGGAGCTTCCTCCCTAGCCCGGAATGGGTGTTCGGTGACAGTCTGGGCCTCCTACCCCAGAATAGAATTGGGGCGGGCTTGGACCTCATCTGAGGGGGACCGAGCACTTGGGGTCAGGATAAGGGGGTGCTGTGAGTGGGGGTGTTCTCAGGCCACCAGTGGGGATTTTCAGCGTGCCAGAGGGAGTGACTGGTGACCACTGTCCACTATCATAGCCCACCTGGGGGTACTCCACTCCCCCAACTTCTCAGATGCACCTTGTTCCTGGGTTTCTCTGTCACCCGTGGTCACTGGGGCCGGTGCCAGGCACCCAGTAGCCCCGGATGTCCTGAGGGATGTTGTCTGCCTCACAAACTGCCCCTTGCCGCCTCGGGCCCCACCTCTGTCCCTGGAGTGATGGGGGGGCATGCAGGACAGGAAGAGGCCCCTGGGAACGAACGCAGCGCGCCCTTGCTAACCCCTGGGTCCCCGCCTGCCACACCCCTGCCCCAGCAGAGCCGGGCGGTGACTCAAGAGCTGGCGGGGCCGCACCCCGGTGCCCGGCGATGGGGCCAGCCTGCCGGGTACTGACACCCCCTGCCCCCCCCAGGACATGGGCAAGTTCTGCCTGACCTACGAGGCGTCCATGACGCGGCTCTTCCGAGAGGGGCGGACGGAGACCGTGCGCTCCTGCACCAGCGAGTCCTGCGCCTTCGTGCTGGCCATGATGGACCCTGCCAAGACGGTAATTGGGCCCCAGGCCCCCTCTCCCGTCTCCCGGGACCCCCAGCCCCTTCTCCTGAGCCCCACTTCACTTCTCCCTGGGGCCCCGCCCCTTCTCCCGAGGCTCCGCCCCTCACGCAACACCAACTCCTAGAGGCCCCGCCCCTTCCACGAAGCCCCGCCCCTCGCGCAACGCCCCTCCCAGAGTCCCCACCCCTTCTCCCGAGGCCCCGCTCCTCATGCAACACCCCCTCCCAGAGGCCCCGCCCCTTTCTACCAGGGCCGCAACCCCCCAGCCCCTTCTCCTGACCCCCTCTCCATTTCTCCCTGGGCCCCGCCCCTTCTCCTGAGGCCCCGCCCATCATACAATGCCCCACTCCCAGAGGTCCCACCCCTTCTCCTGAGGCCCCGCCCCTCACACAATGCCCCACTCCTAGAGTCCCCGCCCCTTCTCCTGAGGCCCCGCCCCTCACACAATGCCCCACTCCCAGAGGCCCCGCCCCCCTCTACCAGAGGCCCACACCTTTCCCCCGCCCCGCCCCTTCTGTTTCAGCCCACCTGCCCCGCCCCTTCTGGCCCCGCCCCTTCCTCCAGGGCCCCGCCCCTTCTCCCGGCCCCGCCCCTTCTGGGCCCCACCCCTTCTGTCCCGCCTCCTTCACCTGGGGTCCCGCCCCCTTTTGCCCCCTCCTTCTCTCCGGACCCCACCCCTTCTACCCCCTCCTTCTCAGGGCCCCGCCCTTGGCTCCTCCTCCCTTCCTCCCTCTGCTCACAAGTGCGGATGAGGGGGCCTTCCCAGCAGGGGGACCGAACCCCAGCAGGCAGCCGCAGCACGGGGCATTGAGCAGGGTTCTGGGTGTGGGGATGGGGCTTGTGGGTGCAGGGAGTCACTTCAGAGCAGATTCTGGCCCCCACACCCTGCCTGGGAGCCCTGGAGCCCAGCTGAGGGATATCCTCAGGTGACTGTCAGGTCATAGCAAAGAGAGAGACCAGGAGAGCAGTGACCCGCCCTGAGGTGGGGTCAGACCACGGCCATTGAAAGGATCAGTCAGGGAATGGTTTGACGTGGCTCGTCCGGAACGTTTGCATTCATGAGCAAGCGTCATTTTTTCGTGCTGGGGTCGGAACCCAAGGCCACCTGTGTGCAACCCTGTGCTCAGGACCCTCCTCTGTCAGCATCACCACTGGCTCCCCCCCTTTTCTTTTGTTTTTTTGTTTGTTTGTTTGTTTGTGGGCCACACCCGTGATGCTCATGGGGTTACTCCTGGCTCTGAGTTCAAGAATTATTACTGGCAGGGCTCCAGGAACCATATGGGATGCCGGGAATTGACCTGTGTCAGCTGCATAGAAGGCAGACACCTTCCCTGCTGGGCTGTCACTCCAGCCCAAAGGCCCACCTTGCGTTCTCAGACATAAGGGTGTGGCCATTGGGGTCCACTCAGAGCCTGCCCAGCAATCCCAGCTCAGCCGACTGAGGCATGTGGGGGGCTGGGGATGTTGAGTCACTGGGGATAGGATCAGAGACGCAGCTGAAAATGGGGGGCTGGTGCCCCACTCATTCGTGTGCAACCAAGGCCCAGCTATGCCCCGGGCTGTCAGAGATGGTCTTGAGGGACCCGTGTGCACTGCAAGCTGTTGCTGAAGCCCCGTCAGAGCCGCTCCTGAAGGGAATCGGGGGTCAGTGCCTCACAGTGGGCCCCAGGGCTGTGTCCCCTCGTGCCGTGACTCAGCCCGACCAGGCCATTGCTGAGACCGTGCAGGCCATGTGGAGGAGGCGTTTCCTGCCTGCAGATGGGACCCCAGCTCTGGCTCCCCCCTCCCGACAGCCTCCTTGCTCCCCACCTGCGGCAGGGCCAGTGGGGCTTCCGCTCAGGCCTCCTGGTGACGGTCCTGTCGCCCGTCCCAGAGTCGCCCTCCACCTTCCCCCAAAGGGCCTCTTTGCCTGGCCACGGCTGACCCGCCTGTCATTTAGCTTGAGCAGAGGCGCTGCCTGTTCAAACTGGCCTCCGAGAAGCACCAGCTGCTCTACCGCCTGGCCATGACCGGCTCCGGGATTGACCGCCACCTCTTCTGCCTCTACGTCGTGTCCAAGTATCTGGCCGTCGAGTCCCCTTTCCTCAAGGAGGTGAGCCGCCCCTCCTTTGGGGCTCCCCCCCCGCCCCATTCCGAGAGTCCAGTGAAAAGCAGGTGTTGGGCAGCCCCACCCCCCACCCTGCCGGGCCCCCCGTGGTGCTCTCACTGGACAGTGCTCATTTGCACACCTCCGGATCGGCTGGCTACCAGACTTGAGCTAATACAACCCAGCACTCACCAGCGCTGAGCACGGCAGACAACCCTGGGGGTCCTGCGGAGCCGGGGAGCAGACCCAGCCCCTACCCCGCGACCCCCGTATTCAGACCATGTGCTCCAGCTACTTCCTGCCTCCTGGCCGTCTTGGTTTTGTTTTGGGAACCACACCAGGCGGTGCTCAGGGCATACTCCCGACTCTGTGCCCAGGGGTCACTCCTGGCAGGCTCAGGGGTGGAGCGGGGTGTCATACGGGGTGCAGGGGATGGAGCCCGGGTCAGCTGTGTGCGTGGCAAGCACCCTGCCCTCTGTCCTCTCTCTCCAGCTCTGACTTTGTCTTTCCTACAGTTTGGTGGGGGTGGTGTTGGGGGGTCGAGGGGGTCGTGCTTGCTTGTTGCTGGCCGGGGCTCGAACTCAGAGATGTGGCTGGTTCCAGGGCTGGACCCAGGGGCCTCACACATGCAGTTGGGCCACAAAGCCACACCGGAAACTGACCAGATCTCAGTTTCCAAGTCTGGCCTCCAGGGACCTGCCGCTCAGGCAGCTTCCGGGGTGGGGAGCCTGAAGAAGTGTTTGGGGTCAGGGGATGTTGACCTCCACCTGTTCCACCCTGTGGAGCCCGCGGGTGGTGGTGGACCCATGCCCGGGCCGAGCAGACAGAGAGGATGCCGGGGACCCTCTCATGGGGCCATTTCTCATGTCCCTCACCAGGTTCTGTCGGAGCCGTGGAGACTGTCCACCAGCCAGACGCCACAGCAGCAGGTGGAGCTGTTCGACTTGGAAAATAACCCGGAATACGTGTCCAGCGGAGGGGGCTTCGGGCCTGTGAGTGACCGTGCCCGTGTGCTCAGGGCTGCCGCTGGGCCCCCATTACCGAGCACCCAACGTTTGCTGTCTTGTTGGCGCCCGCCCTAACCAAAGGCATTCCTGGGGGCCAGGGGACCCCCCCAGAGGCACGAGCACAGACTTCCTTGTTGAGGCGGGGCTCGAGCCCCCGCACTGCTGGGAGCGACCCCCAGCCCCAGGGAGCACTGTGGGGTGTGAGGGGCATCCTGGGGCTGGAACGACAGGACAGCGGGGAGAGCGTTTTTGCCTTGCACGTGGCCACCCGGGTTCGATCCCCGCCATCCCGTATGACCCTTCAAGCACCGCCTGAGGGCAGAGCCAGGAGTCAGCCCTGAGCATCCCTGGGTGTTACCCAAAACTAAAACAAAAGAAAGGAAAAATGAGAGAGAGGCGTTCCTGCTGATGGCTGCAAGAGGCTGGGGCCGTGCCCACCCCTCTCCCGCCTCTCCTGTGCTTGTCCCCCCCCTTTTCTCCTCAGTCCTGGATTTTTTTTTTCCTTTTTGGGTCATACCCGGCGATGCACAGGGGTTACTCCTGGCTCTGCACTCAGGAATGACTCCTGGTAGTGCTCAGGGGACCATATGGGATGCTGGGAATCGAACCTGGGTCAGCTGCATGCAAGGCACAGGCCCCAGGCTGCTAGGAATGCCCCCTGAACCCTGGGCTGATTGTCGGGTTTGTCGGCAGGTTGCAGACGACGGTTACGGGGTGTCCTACATTCTTGTGGGCGAGAACCTCATCAACTTCCACATCTCTTCCAAGTTCTCCTGCCCAGAGACGGTAAGCCCAACCCTGTTCATCTCAGATCTCATCTTTCTTTTTTGCGGGGGAGGGGAGGGCACACATCCTTGTTCCCTGAGAATTTCAGAATTCCATCCATGGCTGAGAACGCGTGTCTGGCGGGAAGCGATGGTTTCCTCCCGTAGTTCCTGAGCGTGGGGTCACTCGGACTCTGTGACGTTGGGTGGGGACAGGGGTGCTGGGATGAGAGTGCAGGGCACGAGGCAGGGGGCTCCAGTGCCCCTAGCCCAGCACCCCAGCCCTCCTATGACGCCGTCTCCCCAGTGGGCCACACCCGGCAGGCAGGGCCCAGGGCCCCTTGACAGCGAGGGAAGGGCCCCCACCCCGCCCTACCCCTGGGTGCCCGTGCCCGCATCCACGCTCACGCACCTCTGCCTTTGCTTCCCAAGGACTCGCACCGCTTTGGGGGGCACGTGAGGCAGGCCATGATGGACATCCTCGGGCTCTTCAGCTTAGGGTCCAACTCCACCAAGTAACCGCCCCTGGGGACCGCGGCTGGAAGGAAGACGAGCTTGGAGAGGAACCAAATCAAACCAAACGCTGTGGCCGCCAAGCCCGGCTGCCGTGCGCGGTGCAAACTTGCTCCTCGAAAAACGCTAGGGTTTTCCTTCTCGCCAAACTGGGGTGCTCTCATCGGACTCCATCCCGAGGTGGGGGGGGGCATCGCATCTGCGGCCCCTCCCGGGCAGGCCTGTGGCTTCAGGGAGACTTTGGTCCTCCCTGGGAGGTTTTGATTCCACTTGTATTTGTGACGGGATTAAAAGATTGTTGTGATCCTTTAGGTGTTAGCGGGCCTGTGACTTCTCACACACGGGCCTGGAACAGGACCTGGTCAGAGCGAGAGATGTTAACCGTTCACCACTGACACGCCCGTAACATACTAACTGAAAACGACCAGCTGTGGAGACCGCGGGGTCCCCCGAGCGTCCCTGGCCCTGCCCGTCCCCCTCTCGCTGGGGGACCCACAAGTGTGTCTCCACACAAGAGAATACTATGCCCTGTTTCATTTCACGGAACCCGCATGTCTTTAAAGACCCCAGTGCCTTAAACAAAGACGGCCCTCACAGCAGGGCTGGGGTGGGGGGGATGGGTGAGGGTCTGGGGGTTTCCCTGGGGGTCCCGCCCCTGGGAGGCCCCAGCACTCCCCTGCCAGCTTCCATTAGGAAGCCACAGAAGTAGGAATGCGCAGAAAGGGACAGTGAGACGCTGTGTCCAGAGCCTGCTGAGGAGAACGTCATCTGGGCCTTGGCGGGGAGGAGGAGGGGTAGGACCCGAGACGGGGCAGCAGGTGCCCACCTGGCCCATTCTTGGGCCCATACCGGGGCCAGCTGGAGCACAGCCACCACCCGGCGGGACGATCCTCCTCAGAGGTGTCCGACTGACCCCAAACGCCAGCACGCCACCCCACACAATGTCCAGGACTCCGCCCACCGCAGGACTGTGGGCGTTAAGCCGAGCAGCCTCTGGGCTGTGTCCTGCTGGCCACCGCTCCCCCCCCCCACCCACCCAGTGGACCGTCCACCCCGAGGGGCCCAGCCCTTGAGGCAGACGCCAGGCCCTTGCATAAGACACAGCTCCTCTGCGTAGCCACAGAAAGCCTCACCGGAACGGGCCACCGGTTTCTTTGCTCTTGAAGAAAAATAAAGCCAGTTTTTTTTTTTTTAAAAAAAATCAACCATTTCACCCCCCACCCCCACCCCCAATTCATCTGCCATCTGTCGGGAGCATTTAGGAGGGAAGGAGGGCCCTCCCCCGGCCACCTCTGTCCAGCGGAGGGGGCTGCCCCTGGAGCTCCAAGGCCAGCACTGTCCACCACTCGCCTGTCTGTCCATCCACTGAGTGTTGACCGTGAGTCGGCCCGCATGTCCGCGGCTTGTCTCTGGACTCGTGTGTTTTCCGCGTCCTATTCATCAGCAGTCATCGATGTAATTTTGTGTTCTTCACGCGAAGGAAGAAGAGTGGGTTTCTCTTGTACATGGCAACAGGGGGAGGTAGGAGTTTTATGTATTTAATTTAATTTGGAACAAGCCATGGTCTTGACGGAGCTGTGGCTTGAACTTGTAACCCTCGACTCTCCGTTGCATGTAAATACCGTCCGTTCCTTTGGATGTACATCTTAGAGTGCAGCACGAATGTTACCATTAATAAACCATTAATCTCTGTCTACTGCAGCACCCGTTTTCTGTCTCTTTGCTCACAGGAAGGAGGTTCTAAGTGGGCTGGGAAGTTTGGGTGCTTGGTTTGGCTTTGTAGTTTTGGGTCTCCTCAGCTGGGTGTCACTGGAGCTCTACCACTGGCTGTTGCTCAGGGGGCCAGGGGGGTCGGCGATCTCAGGGCCCCTTGTCTTCCAAGCACGTTCTCCAGCCTTTTGAGGCATCTTGCAGGCCTCAAACTTGAGCACTTGGAATCTGAGTGAGAAACTGAGGCTTGTGACTGAGGGTGCATGTGTGTGACAGGAGAGTACATGAATAGTGTGTGTGTGTGTGTGTGTGTGTGTGTGTGTGTGTGTATATACGAAGTGTGTAGTGTATTTTGTGCATGTGTGGAGAAGGGCAGCTGTTTTTTTTTCTTTTTGGGTACACCAGCAATGCTCAGGGTTTACTCCTGGCTCTGCACTCAGGAATTACTCCTGGCAGTGCTTGGGAGACCATATGGGATGCCGGGATTGAACCCAGGTGGGCTGTATGCAGGGCAAATGCCTTATCCGCTGTACTGTTGCCCCGGCCCCTGGCTAACTTTTTAGATGTGGTAGAATCCCATTCCACTGAACTAGGTGGAGTTTGGGGTCCAACCTGGGCTTGGATCTAGAAGGATCTAGAAGGCACCAACTCTGTGGAAGACCCTGTGCTCACACCGTGGCTCGTTTGCACCCCCTCGGCAAGCACACAGAACCTCCGGACCCTGCCACTCGTATGTCACATTCTGCCATGTGTGCCAAGTAGATGCCACCTATGCCCTCCTGCACACTCACGTGAGCACACCACCAAGCTTCACAGCCTCTGCTGCTGAGATGCTTCCTTCTGGTGCCGGATGTCTGCACAGGATCAGCTCAAACGTCCTCCACGTGCCTGTGATGGAACCCAGGGCCTTGCACACACAGGACAAATGCTCTACCCGGTGGAATTCCCCTTTCGCAGGTTTTCAGTCACGTCCACCAAATTTGGTTTCTGAGAGAGGCCTCAAGGAGAAGTGCTCGGGTCCGCTCCCTGCCATCCTTGGGGGGGCTCAGTTTGTAGCCTCAGACCTGCAAGGAGGGCGCTCTGCCACTTGGGCCCCTTCCACGGGGCTTTGACGTTGAGGCTAGCGGGGTCCAGCTGGCTCTCCAGTGCCATTTGTAGAGCGTATGGCTGACTCAGAACCAGGAAAATGGGGCCTGGTGTGTCAGTGGGTCAGATACCGATTGAGAGACTCCCACGGGCCAGATGCTGCTCTGGGCTGGGGGTCAGGGAGGGGTTCACAATGAGGGTTGGAGAGAATCCGTGGGCCCACTTTGCACACCCCTTCCCGGTTGCAGTAGATAAGGGTCACCCCATCCAGTTACACGCACGTACAGCATGAATTAGGAATGGTCTGAAGCTCCACTGGTTTTCATCTCAGGAGACCTCAAACACTCTGGGCGACCTGCCCTGCAGGGAAGCTGCAGCCACCAGCTCCCAGGAAGTAGATTATTTCTGTGGCACAGGAAGTAGATTGTTCCTGAGGCAGGAAGTCTACTTAGTGCAGGCTTCTAGTCGGGAATGTTTGGAACCTGCTGGTTGCTAGGAACACAGATTAAGTTGTTAGTACAGCAGGAACGCCAGTGTCAGAACTTGATTATAATTACATTTCATTCTTTAATATTTTTTTTTTGCAATGCCAGGGACCTGGCCCTGTGAAGCTAGCACATTACTGCTGAGTCACATTCCAGGCCCATTATATCTTTTACTTTGTTTTTCTTTTTTTTTCTTCTTGGGTCACACTTACTCCTGGCTCTGCACTCAGGAATTACTCCTGGCAGTGCTCAGGGGACCATAATGGGATGCTGGGATTCGAACCCGGGTTGGCCGCATGCAAGGCAAATGTCCTACCTGCTGTGCTATCAGTCCAGCCCCACCATTATATCTTTTTTTTTTTTTTTTTTTGCTTTTTGGGTTACACCCGGCGATGCACAGGGGTTACTCCTGGCTCTGCGCTCAGGAATTACCCCTGGCGGTGCCCAGAGGACCATATGGGATGCTGGGAATTGAACCCGGGTCGGCAGCATGCAAGGCAAATGCCCTCCCCGCTGTGCTATTGTTCCAGCCCCGCCATTATATCTTTTTTTTTCCCTTTATTTTATTTTATTTTTTTTAAAGTTGTAGATTTACAATTTTTTGTGCTTTGGTTTCAATTATACAATGATCAGATACCCATCCCTCCACCAGTGCCCATTTTCCACCACCATGGATAATATCCCTCCCACCCCCATCCCCCCATCCCCCCTGTCTCTGTGGCAGGGCAATCCCCTGTGTTCTCTCTTTCCTTTTGGGTGTTGTGGTCTGCAAAAGAGGCATTGAGTGGCAAACATGTTCAGTCCATAGTCTACTTTCGACATGCATCTCCCCTCCTGGGAGGATCCTCCAAACATCCTTTATTTGGTGCTCCCTTCTCTATCTGAACTGCCCTTTCCTCTAGGATACCCGGCTGGCCTCTAAGTTATGGAGTAATCCTCCTGGTGCTGATCTCAGCTATTCTTGGGTATTAATCTCACTCCTTCATTATATCTTTTAAAGTCAATTTAAAGACTCAGGGCAATTAATTGGATGAGAAACTCCTAGTTGTCTTAAATCGAGAAGTTCTCAACTGGGGAAAATTCTTGAAATTTTGGGGATGGCATAACACCTTAACTCCTATACTATCTTTCCAGTCGTCCTTTAGGGGTTTCTTGGGTGCTAAAGTGTATAGTATTGCTGTTCATAGTGCTCTGTGGATGCCAACCATGTGCCTCACATCCCACCAGGGACACCCTGTTTTGTTACATAGCTGGAGCTCCAGCACCAAGGACCTGAGGTGATCATCTCAGGTGGGAATTAGCACTTGCAAGCCTCTAGCATGCCTGCCACCTGTGGCTCAAAAATATTTTTAAAAAACTAAGGTCAGTGGGCTGGAGCGATAGCACAGCAGGTAGGGTGTTTGCCTTGCATGCGGTCAATCCGGGTTGGATCCCCAGCATCCCATCTGGTCCCCTGAGCACCGCCAGGAGTAACTCCTGAGTGCTGAGCCAGGAGAAAACCTTGTGCATCGCTGGGTGTGACCTAAAAAGCAAAATAAAACAAAACAAAAGACAAAAACAAAAAACTAAGGTCAGAAGGCTGAAGCAATAAATAGTACAGCAAGTAGGGCATTTGCCTTGCATATGGCAGATTTGATTCCCAGCATCCCATATGGTCCCCCAAACACCACCAGCAGTAAGTCCTGAGTGCAGAGCCAGAAGTAACCCAAAATGTCACTGTAGCACTGTCCTCCTGTTGTTCATCGATTTGCTTGAGCGGGCACCAATAACATCTCACAACAAACTGTGAAACTTGTTCCTTTTTTGGCATATCAAATACGTCACGGGTAGCTTGCCAGGCTTTGCCTTGTGGGCAAGATACTCTGGGCAGCTTGCCGGGCTCTCCGAGAGGGGCACAGGAATCGAACCTGGGTCGACGGTGTGCAAAGCAAACAAACGCCCTACCCGCTGGGCTATCGCGCCACCCAAAATAAGCACACTTTAAACAATTAAATTAAATAGATAGATAAATAAATAAATAAATAAAGGAAAAAAAGAAAAGAAGGTCAGGCAGGAGAGGTAACTCCAAAGTGTGAAGGCACGCCTCGCCCTCTGGGTGGGGGTTTATCCCACATGATCCCGAGCTCCAAAGGGAGAGTAGCCAGCAGCAGCTGTGGCAGCACAAAGCAGGGGTGGTGTCCTGGGGCCCCCCGAGTCTCCCACTGAGCCGGCAGCTTTTGCTTCCACTCGGACACCAGCCCCGGCCCCGCCCTCCGGACCTTGCCCCGCCCGCAAGAAGCCCCGCCCTCGACCACGCCCCTCGACCACGCCCTCTTTCGGCCACGCCCCCCTCAACCGCCAACCGCCGCTCGCTCTGTGCTCGCAGACAGGCGGGTCGCGCTGAGGAGCTGAGGAGACGGGACGGGGCGCCCCGCAGGTGCCTGGACCCCGTCACCGGCAGGGAGGGGAGGGCGGGCCTGTCTCCCGGGGGCCCCTCGGGGCGAACCCCACGGGGCTTCCCTCCCGCCAGCGCCCCGGGAGTGCGGGAGCCCCTGTGAGCCCCTCCGGAGCTCGGGGTGGCCGCCCACGCCCACCCCCTCGGGAACCGCCCCGTCGGCAGCGGGGACCCCCGTGAGCCCACAGGCGGCGCCCCCAACAGCCCCCGCAGCCAGCAGCCCCCGGTTCCCCCTCAGGAGGGGACCCCCGTTGACCCTCAGGTAGCGCCCCACAACCCCCATTCTCCTCGGGAACCGTCTCCGACAGTGGAGTCGTCCACAGCGGGTGGGGACTCCCATCCCCTCAGCAGAGACCCCCACGACCCCCAGCCGGCGGACCCCCGTGCCCCTCAGGAGCCGCCCCCACAGCCCTCAGGTGGGACCCCAGGAACCGCCCCCACAGCCCTCAGGTGGGACCCCCAGGAACCGCCCCCACAGCCCTCAGGTGGGACCCCAGGAACCACCCCCACAGCCCTCAGGTGGGACCCCAGGAACCGCCCCCACAGCCCTCAGGTGGGACCCCAGGAACCACCCCCACAGCCCTCAGGTGGGACCCCCCAGGAACCGCCCCCACAGCCCTCAGGTGGGACCCCAGGAACCACCCCCACAGCCCTCAGGTGGGACCCCGAGACCCCTCAGGAACTGCCCCCACAGCCCTCAGGACCCCCAGAAATCGCCCCCACAGCCCTCAGGTGGGTCCCCGAGACCCCTCAGGAACTGCCCCCACAGCCCTCAGGACCTCCAGAAATCGCCCCCACAGCCCTCAGGTGGGACCCCCAGGAACCGTCCCCACAGCCCTCAGGTGGGACCCCGAGACCCCTCAGGAACTGCCCCCACAGCCCTCAGTTAGGACCCCCAGAAATCGCCCCCACAGCCCTCAGTTGGGACCCCAGGAACCGCCCCCACAGCCCTCAGGTGGGACCCCCAGGAACCGCCCCCACAGCCC